TAAAACCATAATTTAAAACCAAACCGAAATATTAACCATTAAAACTTTCCACCATTAAAACTTTCCAACTTTCCAAGGCTCCGCCCCCCACCAAAGCCAGGAGCCATAAATTCCAAGGCTCCACCCCCACCAAAGCCAGGAGCCATAAATATATATCATAAAACCAATTTTATAAGCCAAATCCACCCTCCTGTGATGCCCAGGAGGGTGACTTATATCCCATAATAAGGTCACGACAAGAAGGGAGGGTGGGTGGGAGCAGCAGCTCAGTTATATTTAAAAACGGCCAACCTTGATAGTTGTCTGGCACAAGCTGAGGTAAATAATTTGGCGCCTTTAAATTTATACTCATTTTCCCGCCACTGCTTATCTCGTGCTGCGATCTACCAATCAGGGCTCTTGCCCTGATCACGACCTTCCCGCCCTGCTAATAGCGCGTGCTGCCCTGCACCTAACCCTCACTGCGCTCTGCTGCTAACCTAAACTGACCAATACTTACCCAACAGCCTCTGCTCCATCAAACCTCATGAGGCTTGCTCCTTATGCAGTCCGCGTGCCCGACATGAGGTTTGAATGTTGCATTCTTAATGATACATAATATAAATAAACACAAGACAACTTCTTTTATCCAATTTGTTTATTCAGTACTTCAATATTGTACCTTGGAGAATGGCCGTGAACCTTTATTACGGATTTCATAATTCCACTTTAAACATAAAACCATAATTTAAAACCAAACCGAAATATTAACCATTAAAACTTTCCACCATTAAAACTTTCCAACTTTCCAAGGCTCCGCCCCCCACCAAAGCCAGGAGCCATAAATTCCAAGGCTCCGCCCCCACCAAAGCCAGGAGCCATAAATATATATCATAAAACCAATTTTATAAGCCAAATCCACCCTCCTGTGATGCCCAGGAGGGTGACTTATATCCCAACGCCACCGAGGTTCTGGGATACCAAACTCGGTGGCCCCCCACCGCCCACGGCCATCTCCAACATAGATTGAACACTTACCTTAAATATATATCCACACCAACATCGGACAAATGAAACGCGCATTCCTATATAAACCTGCGCAACTGCCCTCAATAACTGTGTCTTTTAAAAAGACAACCGAAACTGCAAAAACTTTCTAACGCTCTATTTAAGCAGTTTGAATAGCCTTATTTTCATCCAGCATTGCCTTGGTATAATTTCCGACCAAATAAAATGAACATCTCAAATTTTTAATTTTTTTTTTTTTTGCCACAAAAACCATATCCTTCTTAATTACTTACCACAAATTGACCTATTCTATTGACCCAATGTTGTTTCCTCCCAGATGAACCACTATCACAACTGGTTAAGGAAAACCAAGGTAAATTGTTGCAATAACTCAAATAAATGTGACCATTTCACACCACGAATACCATTGCCAAAATATTTTAACCACTGTGCTTCCAAACCAAGTTTTCACCATATGTTCGCTCTTGCGCCCTCTTCCGGGCCCATACCATAAACGAATAACTAATGACCCAGACAAAAGCCGGCTTCTTAAGACCTAACAAAAGAAGAAATTATTAGTATATGTACTAATTTCCATAAAACCCATAACTTTCATAAATACCAAGTAACCATTTACCAATAGAATATTTTATTTATTTATCGAATGAAGCCTGACATATACTTGAAATTGTTAGAGTCTCGGCTTCCCAACGTTTGACTGATTCCATCACTTCAACCACACCTTGCCGCTTTGTTTGCAGCTCCAATTCTAAAAGAACAAGATGAGTAACACTCCTTGCCCAACCAAATGATATAATTTATTTATTTTTTATTTTTTTTATTATTTTTTTATTTTTTTATTTTTTTAACCTTTATGAATTGAAATTAAGTTAAAGAATTAAATCAGCATGCATAAAATGGGCCCTTTACTCTTGGCCTTACTGATAACTGTTCTTCCGTCACTTTACAGGGCACAAAAGAAACTTTAATATTAAACAATGTCAACCATATGTCGTTTCCCTCTTGAACCGTTTAGGTTTTCTAATAGATATCAATACTCTTATTGTGCACCATAACATCCTCCAACAGCACACCCGATAAACAAAATTTACTCCTTGTATCAACTCACCAATCCTACAACTGAAAACTGATATAAACAGGCATCTAAATAACTAACTCAATGAAGAATAATATACGCCTTCAAAATCTTCCACTAACTGTGCCAAAACCGAAAATGTATTAGGTTTTCTATTATCCCTAACCTGACAAACTCTCCTACCACCTTTAACTAGCTGAACTATGAAATACTGTTTGATTGGTTTACCATCACACAGCTTCAGAAGAAATCCACCTTTGCTAAATCACTTGTAACTTTGATTTAGAAAAGCCCTTTCTGCATTACATGAACTATAAATTGCACTGCACTCTCCTTATCCTCTTCTAATGGAATTTTACCACTTACTTTTAAAATTCCCCGCTCATTCCATGCCCTTAACTTAAGAAAGCAAAACTGAAGCTGCCACTAAATTAATTATAAGAACACTTAACTGTCCCAAACTATACCCAAAGGTCTGATGAAAAATTGGATTCCTTTCGCTTCCCGAAACTTCTGTAATTTTAAACTTGATAGAGCATCAACCAGCCTTTTCATTTTCTTGGTATATGCCCGACTTTGCATTATTATTATTATTATTATTATTATTTTTTATTTTTTTTATTTTTTTTTTATTAGGTATTGAATTGCAGATACCTTAAAACCCAAATGCCTCAGCAAATTAACTACCCTTTTACACCAAAGACTGTAAGGAATTGAGTACCATCACTACACTCAAAGTATCACATAAATAGCAATCAATCGTCTACCTTTCCATACTCTCCCATAAGTATGGCTGCTGATGGGGAATAACTCTAAACACGTTGAAATTATTTTCTAAAACCTTCTTGTTGGCCATTCTAGAGAAAACCCCCCTGTCCTTCCCACTGTGTACCGAAAACAATGCACCTGCTACATCAGTTAACAGCTCCAAATTATTAAATCTGTGAACTCCTTCTGTCACATTGATCCCCCATCAACTTTACAATATTTTTATTTATTTATTTATTTTTAAATTTATTTTATTTATTTTTTCTTCATACTTTAAGTCTTGTTTTAATTCTCTTGTTATTCCATTGTGAGCAGAGGGGGGAGAGGGAGGTTAATGTTTGCCTTTGTTATACCGATTTTCTTGGAAAAATGCTCTCCCCATTAGGATAACCCTTGATGCAAATACAACAAACCTAAGAGTGATTGCAGCACCTTAAAGTTACTTTTCCACAGCCCGTTACCTGTTTAATCAGCATCCTTATCTTCTTAATCCTTTCCTCCGGCAACCTAAATTCCATATTTCTTTTCTCTCTCTCTCTCTTTTTTTTTTTTAATCAGGAATTGTAGACAAGTAAATAATTGGATAAAATCGTCTTATCTGCTGCTAAAAGAATACGTAAATTATAAGTCACCTTTTGAAAAATTTCTAACAGGCTCTTATAGTTGCCACTCTCTTTGGAGCCCACAATAAAATCATCAAATAGTGCACTATTTTTCTCTGACCAGGCTTGAATCGAACTATCCATTCAATAACATCACAAATAACTCAAAGTAAGAACATGCAAGCACACGAAAAAACTGGTAAGCACCTGCCGAAAATACGACCTTCAAATTGAAAAATTTACGAATTAAATGACTCGGACTAAATTGGTCAGAGTTAAAAGCAGCTATAATATTGCCTCCTCCCACATTCTATTACCACATTTAAAACTTATCAAAAGTTGAATATGACACTGAACTATCCTCCTTTAGAATCACGTCATTTAAATATTCTCACTTAAAATATAAGTGGTGTATCAATCTGAATGACCCTGGCTCCTTCTTTGGAACTAAACCCACGGAGATACTAAAACTTGCAAGGATGAACAGAGAAAGGACTTTCAATCCTGCCTAGCTTTAACTCTTTACAAATCTTTACCTACGCTATATATTTGGCAACTCTAAATTGATTTTTAACTTTCAATTATATACAGGTAACCGGAAACCAAAAATCTTCAAACTTTGTCTTCTCCAATTTTTAATACTATCTAGAAAATGCAGTAATCTTCGCAGCCTCCCTGAGGTCTGTGCTTTAAAATGTACTGCTTTGCTGGCCTGTTTTAAAACAACGAAAATTACTGTGTGCACCTGAAGAGGTAGCACATTCCTGACAGAATCTACATTTATTTAAACACTGAAATGCATCAAAAGCAAACCCGTGTTTTTTTGTTTTTGTTTTGTTTTTATAACTTATTTTTTATGTTATATTTGTACTAACCTGCCTGTTAGCATAAACTAGCTGTCTCTAAAGGTAGCATAGCCTTCTTTTTCATTCCATTTTATGTTACTCTGAACGCTAATAATACTTTTTAAACAAAATTGTTAATCACCAAAATTCATCTATGCTTCTTTGTATGTTGAAATGACACTAGCATAGATTCAAAAGCCTTTGCAGTACATTGTTGACTTTCTTCCATAATCTATCTTTTATTTGCTGGACTTTCATATCACGCTTTCTTCATGCATATCTCTTAACTCTAATCTCTTCTCTCACAGACTGTCACTTTAAGGTTAACTATGACCACTTGTGTCCCTTGTTCCTATACGCTCACTAATCTAGGTTTTTATAATAATTTGATCATTTTTTTTGTGAAAATACCATATCACCTAAAACAGCATTATTCACAGTTGTTGTGACTCACCCATCTCATGACTGTGACCCATGACATCCTGGGCAGCTTCAATCACCTCAGTCAGCCTAGGTCTCCCCTCAGCCTCCATTTTCTTCTTCTTTTGTTCAAACTTTCTGCTCTGCTTCCACAGCCTCTTCTTGCTTTATTGGAGATAGTGAGAAACTTTCTGGATCTCTTTGTTCTCTCTTCATGAATCCTGCAGGGGTCACTCTCACCAGACTTCTCTGTTTGCACTGGCCCCTTAATTGTTAGAGGATATGAGCCTGTGTCCACCTCCATTACTAGCTCCTCCTGTAGCTCAGCCCCTTCCTCCCCTCCCTCATTCAGACCTGAAGTACCAAGGGCTGACTCTAAACAGGCTTGCAGCTGTATCTCCACAGCTTAAAGCTTATTGTTTCAACTGTTCTAATAGTACTTCAACTGTGCCAGACATCTTCAAGGTAAGAGCAGCAGCTCAGTTATATTTAAAAACGGCCAACCTTGATAGTTGTCTGGCACAAGCTGAGGTAAATAATTTGGCGCCTTTAAATTTATACTCCTCATTTTCCCGCCACTGCTTATCTCGTGCTGCGATCTACCAATCAGGGCTCTTGCCCTGATCACGACCTTCCCGCTCTGCTAATAGCGCGTGCTGCCCTGCACCTAACCCTCACTGCGCTCTGCTGCTAACCTAAACTGACCAATACTTACCCAACAGCCTCTGCTCCATCAAACCTCATGAGGCTTGCTCCTTATGCAGTCCGCGTGCCCGACAATCTGTCCTGCACTGAGTGATATTCAAGCTCACAGGTGTGGCTATCAGTCAGCAGGGCCGCCATCAGGGCATGACAACCATAATGGTTGTCATGGGCCCGGCGATCCTGGGGGGCCCGGACTGCTGTGGGAGTCCTGGGCCCCACATTCCATATGTGCTCATATAGATAACGATTATCGCTATCTATATGAGTAATTGCGGGCCCCGGCTACCTGTACAGTGTAGACGGGGGCCACCGGGTCAGCCAGCACCATCTTAGCTTTCCAGCAGCTCCTGTGTCTGTAACTCTCACAAGTTCCCTGGCCGGCAGAGCGTTGTCACGGGTTACCATGGCAACACTCCACGCGGCATGCAGGCACAGCTCGCGAAGGTTACAGGCACAGGAGCTGCTGGAAAGTTAAGATGGTGCTGGAAGGGTCCCTTCTATATTATACAGTGGCTGGCTCCCTCCATCATACCAACGGACCACCTGGGAAGCAAACTCCCCCCTCCTTGGCCAGGGAAGAAGCAGAGGGGGGAATAAAATAAAGTGTGTGTAAATAAATGTAAATATTATCAAAAATGCTCTCCTCCCCACCAAATGCAGCCTCTATTTTACACTATACATCCCCTACACAAACACACATAGCAATCACCATACACACTATTCATCCACTACACAAACACACACTGCAATCACCATACACACTATACATCCACTACACAAACATTGCACACTGCATTCACCATACACACTATACAACGACTACACAAACCCACAGTGCAATCACCATACACACTATACATCCACTACACAAACATTGCACACTGCATTCACCATACACACTATACAACGACTACACAAACCCACAGTGCAATCACCATACACACTATACATCCACTACACAAACATTGCACACTGCATTCACCATACACACTATACAACGACTACACAAACCCACAGTGCAATCACCATACACACTATACATCCACTACACAAACACACACTGCAATCACTATACACACTATACATCCACTACACAAACACACACTGCATTCACCATAAACACTATACATCCACTACACAAACACACACTGCATTCACCATAAACAGGATACATCCACTACACAAACACACACTGCATTCACCATAAACACTATACATCCACTACACAAACACACACTGCATTCACCATAGACACACTACATCCACTACACAAACAGACACTACATCCACTACACAAACACACACTGCATTCACCATACACACACACCATCCACTACACAAACACAAACTCTGCATTCACTACACAAACACACACTGTATTTAACACACACAAATACTACATCCATTATCCAAATGTGCCATCTGTATCCACTATACACACCACATCCACTAAACACACACAAAGGGCATCCTTGTGGGCGGCGCGGGGCCCCAGACCTTGAAGTATGTAATGGGACCCAAAATTTCTGATGGCAGCCTATACTAATGTAACTGCCAAGTGCTGAACTACAAGTCCAAAAATCCATTAATTGCAAGAGTTGGTGTAATAACGGTCATTACTCCCACTAAAAAAATGGGATGGGTCGGGTTTGCTGACATATGTCACGTACTTACAAATGCAGGCAGAATTCTTTGAACACCAAGCTGTAGTTGCTAGGCATTTGCTACCCAGACAATAGCTTCCATGGGGAGTAATCTCTCTCATTTTGTTTGAGTATATTGGGATTGAATCCACTACACATGTCTAGTTGTATTCAGCAGATCATATTCAATATTAGTATTATTAGAAATGACGAACTATTATGTATAATGAATAATATTTTTACATTGTAATACTAACACTGAGCAGAATAAAAAATATGGGAAGACTTTTTATAGGATGCTCTATTTCTATGCTTGCAGTGTCCCTTTAAATTACACTTACTAGTTCTCCTACTACAGGGCTAGCCCAATGGCGTTATCTAGCTGTCATGCTGCCCTATCCCAGTGACTCACTGCACCCTGTGATCTTCAGTGAGCCATTCAGAGGAGGGAGCAGCCGCTCTACTCCTATTATCACAACGTTCCGGAGGGTGTGATGCTGACGTCACTGTCCTTTAGGCTTTCCATTGGAACTCCGCCCTCCTACCGCCCCCTGCACTGTCAGTCAGATCCATAGCTGCAAGACCTCCAGGCTCGGCCACTGAAAGGTAACAATCAGCACCTACCGACTAAAGCTAACGAAAAGGCCGTTTCTTACATAAAATCTCTATTGCGGTTAGCCATTAGGGCTACAGGATCAGGCAAAATGGCTACAGTTAGTGTGCATGAATGCAGGTTTTGCTGTAAAGGTCTTGAAGATAAGGAGGCCAGAAGATCAGGTCGACCTTTGTGTGTTTCATGTGTGTTTCATATGTGTGAGACTGGGAGGGGAAGTAGAATAGAACGTTACTGTAACCAGTTCAAGAAAACTATGTTAAATGTGTTTATTGTGTTTCTAGATTCTCCATATTGCAGATATATTGTTATAATTATCTGCAAACCAGTGGGTCACATCACTCACCAGATAGATCTATGTAACACCCATGCTTGATGGATTATAGAGCGGTGTCCTCTGAATGCACATTGTGTGCCTTATTCCATATTATATTTAAAACCAAGTTAAAGGGCAACATATAAAACCAGAATGTCATTCATGATAGATGTCGGTTTGTATACTTCTATAAATAGCGTCCATAGAATGCTTTGTAAATGATATCTATCTGTATTGAATCTGTTCAAAGGCAATGTGACCTTTGGCGACTGTTTAAGTCCATTTTAAATGCTAATTTAGATCCCTAAAAGGGACTAGACCATTATAATGACACATATATTAAAGAATATATATAGTAATAATAATGAAATATAATAGAATAATAAAAAAAATAGTGAGCTGCTAGGATAAATGAATTATATTTGTGTATATTCATATAATTTGTAAAGGAAAGTTGCATAACGTTTAATTGGTGTTTTCACTTATCTTTTATTACATTAGGCATAATTTTCCATAGTAAATTACAAATGCATCTGCCTCAAGGTCACAAGTGGATTACTGTGTTGTACTGTAGGCTTTTAAAAGTAGTACCATAGCTAAGGGAATATATTTTTGTAAAATATCTATTGAAAGCGTCTGATTCCTTTAGTATAGTGTTATGAAGAAACCTCTGCTTCATAAATCTTACACTTCTAAACCAAGGACAGCAATTGATTTGCTTAGACATTTGCAGTCCCTGTCCTCGAAATTAGGTTTAATTTGACCACAAATGTGAAGGACACTCCTCATTTGGCATCTATCCTTCAAGACAAATGTCAGCTTGCAGTGTCTACATGCCTGTGCAGATCAGTTACCAGCATGTTGAATATTTTTGTAGGTTGTTTCATCTTGTAACCTGAATTAAAAATATCACTTTAAAATTAAGGCTAAAATAGATGAGTTTGAAAAAAATTTTATGCTAGTGTATGTTGCATCATTTTGTCATGCATTTATGTATATTTGGTTTTCAGTCTCTCATTCATTGTTTAGTGAATTAATGAATAAGAGTTCATTTACTGGATTGAAGTGAAGTGTTCAAGTTTCTGTCTGTAAAATTATTAAATTTCAGAGGGAAAAAAATACTGATAGGAAAAGATTCAAACGATCATGATTTGTCCTTGATAGCCGCCTTGTCTAGGAAGGAGACATTTTTGGAATGTTTCATGGACTTTGTTAACATGTAATATTATTATTTTTGTTCGCCCCCTATAATAAAAGGTTGCCCATTTTGTGCTGTCAACAAATTCCCTGATGGTATGAAAACCCAACCTATGTCCTGTTTGAAACACTATATAATGGAAAAGTCATGGAGGATGTAGTGTCATGACTGCGGTGTATAACTTTTAAGACCCTGCATATGGAACTATATATATATTTGTTCTTCAATCAGACAGGTCAGAAATATTTGAATTCAAAATGTAATATTACAGTGAAAATGAATGTAACTAGTGTCAGTGCCCACATATATACATAGAGATACTAGATAACTGAAACAAAAACTACAGGAGGCAGCAAATCTAAGATAAGGGAACTCCCTTAACAACCCTTGAAGAAAGAGTATACCTAATCTGAAAAAATTAGGTTGGGCCTAAGAGTAAAATACACTGACTAGTAAATAAGAAAAGAAACCATAAGAGAAATGACACTATTAATTAAAAACAAATATCACCAGGGAATAGTACAAAAATATGACAAAATAAAATATACAACAGTCCCAAGTTTGATTCTCTTTTCTAAGGGAAGATATTTATTTTTAATTAATGGTGTTATTTCTCTAAATGGAGAGCAAAAAACAGGTCGCAAGAGTATTCTGAGAACGGGCAGCAGCTGAAATAGCCTGCCCTTCACTGGGTCCCCGCTCAGAACTCAAGCTTGTTTTAGCTCATCTTGTGCCATTACAGAGAGAACATATCTGAAGCATATCAGACTGGTCCCACTCATTCGGACAGTCCAGATCCGAAATGCCAGCAAGTTCTCTCTGCACGAAAGATACAGCAACCCCAGACGATCGTTTCAGCCTTCTTAGGCATCATCAGTGAGGCATAGCTGATATCTCTCTAGGCACCGTGAGCAAGGGGTCCACGTCTGGATTACCCTTTAAACTAATGGAGAGCAAAAAACAGGTCGCAAGAGTATTCTGAGAACGGGCAGCAGCTGAAATAGCCTGCCCTTCGGTGGGTCCCCGCTCAGAACTCAAGCTGGTTTTAGCTCATCTTGTGCCATTACAGAGAGAACATATCTGAAGCATATCAGACTGGACCCACCCATACGGGCAGTCCAGATCCGAAATGCCAGCAAGTTCTCTCTGCACGAAAGATACAGCAACCCATTTTTATTTCTATAAATGTTTCTCTTGTTATTCACTAAACAGTGTATTTTACTCTTAGACACAACCTAATGTTCTTGTTTTAGATTTTCCACATATATACATAACATTTACATAAGGTGATTTCACCTAGGGCATCAGTGACAGCAAGAAGGGGGCGTAACATTAAGGATATTTTAGTCCCTAGCCATCTGAAAAATACATCTCTAAAAACAACATGGCTAAAGTCTCCAGTCCTAGGCACATATCAATGTGGTAAATGCAAGGCGTGTAAATTCATACGCCGACCTTCCAAAACCTTTCCAGATTCTTTAGGGAATCAGGAATTTGATGTTAAAAGTTTCTTTAATTGTCAGTCTAAAGGTCTTGTGTACTTACTTACCTGCTCATGTAAGAAATTATATGTGGGGAAAACTTCAAGAAAGTTCAAATTGAAAATAGGGGAACATGTGAACTCAGTGAACCCTAGAAGAGAAGGCTAATAGACACTCCAGTCTCTAAACATCTGAAAACCCATCATGGGGGTTCCTCTGATGGAATTAGATTCTGTGGGATTGAAAGAGTCATACTTGGACCAAGAGGTGGCGATTTGGATAGAAGACTATTACAAAGGGAGAGTTTCTGGATCTATAAACTTAAAACCCTCTCACCGTTTGGATTGAGTGAGGGTTTTTCATATACACCTTTTATAGGAGACTAATAGTACATAAATCACTTGGCCTGTGATATAACATATCCAAACATCTCTCTTTTTCTCTTCTTTCTTTTTTCATTCTAATTTATTCTATTTTACTGTATTTACATACTACCTGTATGTTCATGTATATAACTCTGTAAATTTGTAAATATGTCCTACCTGCCGGATACACTTGTAAATATTATACTATAGCGTGTGCAGTGTTTAGTTCACTATATACTTTATTTATTATTATTTATCTTGTATGCTTTATTTATTACTTTAGTAACCCTAACTCCTACATATAGGATTTCCAATAGGGAGAATAACTATGGAAATATGGCTCTGATCCAGGGTATGAATTGCACAAGGGATATTATATATTATAAAATAGTCTATATCTGGCCACTTTGTATAGGGCAACCCTTGAGTCTGTAACATTCTGGGGAGTTGCAATTGTGCAGTATATATTCACAGGTGCTGCATTGTAGATATCACTTTTGCCCATTTTTTATTATTATTACTATTGTGTGTATGATTCTATGAGGGGGAGTGTTTTCCTTCCCCTCCCCCCCATTGGATATAACTGATGTAAGGCGATTCATTAGCCTGTATACTGGTATCCGCCCAGACGACCTAGAGGGGCGGAGTCATGGGGGCTATGACCGGGGAACAAACATAGTAGATCCCGCCCATCTTTGATCTAACAGTGTTACAGACGGTCCATATGTTGATGGGGATGTTAGGTTGCGCGCGACGTCACCTATATCACGTGATTCGTGACGTCGCGATCCCGGCCCTTTGGGGGGTCGAGTCAAGTGATGCGTTACCTGACACCTCCCCCACGTACATCACGTGACCCGGAATGCCATATACATCACGTGACCCGGTATGCCGTGGCCGCGATTTTGGATTTGAAATAAGATCCACCTGAGATGATATTCCCCCTATTGGATACAACTATCTGGTAAATCTAGTATTTAAGAGACATGCTTTCAGTCTTATGTTGGCCCCTGACGAAGGTGCATCTCTTTAGGAACCGAAACATGCGTTGGGCATTTTTTTCTCATATCTTGTATATGAGCACTGGGCACTGGTGGTTGTAGCACCATGTTTGTCACTTAACTAATTCTTTACTCTTTTTACTTCTTTTCTTCTATGCCTGTCTAGTTAGTTTAACAGGGAGAGAGGCTTTATAATTAAAATCTATCAGTCTGTTTGAGACTGATTTTTCTATTCTCTTTTGACTTTATACCTCTCCTTATATGATATTGGATCCTGAATTTTATAGCTCTTTTCTTATAATTATGGAGCTATAACTAAGCCCTTTTCTGCATATTATATCAGGGACATGGCTTTTAGTTTTTTCAGTATATGGATTTAAGGCAGTTTTATTCTGGATCTCTACAAGATCATTATACTAGACATCACTTAAAAGGATTTTTTGATTGGGATTTAGATATCTGGCGTTTCCCATTCCCATTAGCACATTATAATAAATCCTATATTTGGAATTGGGACACTTTAGTGTACATTGTATCTATACTCCTACAATTTTCCTTTGTGACTGGCATAGAAGTATTAGTACCACCTATATTTATTATTACTTTTGTTTGACTATTGGGATAGTTTGTCACTTACAGTATCTACCATTAATGTGGTAGTTAGGTTCTTATTTCATTGCACCGCTATATTTATTTCCAGGTGATGTAACTAGTCTCAAGTTTTTACACTGAGACGGGCTGCATCTTTACTTAGTGTGCTGTTTGTTGTTCACTTTGGGGTTAGGCCCCTTTCTGAGACACCTGGAGTCTCTTATCGGTACTTTAGTCTCTGTGTAGGACCAACTACTACCCCCCCTCTTTTTTTGTGGTGGTTCTAGTGGTATATACACAGAGTCTTAGAAGTTTTTTCTTCTTTCTTTGTTTTTTTCACATATATACATGCCCTAACTTTATGAATGCGATGCCTCTCAAACTGTAATGGAGTTGGAGATTGGATTACATATATTAAGCTAACATATTTGATATATTTTATAGTTGGATCTATGTTTTATATGTCATGATCCTACCCAGCTATGGTGTGTGTGTGTGTATAAGCAACTATATTTACGTATGCCACACATCTATCTACTCTAAATCTTGTGTGACAGTCCGGATATATTGGGCTCCCTTTTCACTATACCATGATTGTATTACGTCTGTTACCCCCCCCAACCCCCACAAAAAAACCAAAAAAAAAACAAAGTCAACTCATATTACCCACACTCAATACCTTGCATACCTCAAAATGTTGGGAGTATGATTCCAACCTGGAACCCAAATGATGAGCTTACGTTTAATATTTTATTCAATATAACAATATGGATAAATAAAACAGGCTTTTTTTTTTTTTTTTTAAGCCATCATCACTTTGTGTTCATGACACATCCACTTTAATAAATTCTTAGTGAGGAAGCTGTTACTAATATAAAACCTATTATAAGTAGGACCATGGAAACAAATCAAGAACATTAATTATAGAGGTGTTAACTGGCATGTTAGTTACAGCATTAAAATTCACGTAATTAATTATAAAATATAAATAATGTATATTCGTATAAGAGAGAAGCTTACAAGCATGCAACAAGGAATTATATTCCCACAGAAAGAATTTGGAAGCATTGTCTCCGATCAAAATCCACTCAAGTGTCTAGAGATGAATTGTGAGATACAAACCTTTTAGGTACATGGATTTTCGATAGCAAAGTGTTTGGTAGCAATCATTTGTGACTGTTTCCGTATCCATACAGCACTTCTAGTAAAAACAAAAAAAAAGTACTTTACAGACAACAATCTGATAAATTTACTAAAGAAAATAAAGTTCTGCAAGCAATTTCTTTATCCACCTGTCAATATTTCAGTTCTAGTAGGCCTCTTGCAAATTGGCTATTTTGGTAGTGTTAATAGTTTTCTTTATATCATACAATGTAACAGTTTTAATCTGTGAGTAACCACACCATTTATACATTTTTCAATAGGTATATCTCTAACGTGATATCTCACTGAAGATATATACCAGGCTGTAGTTTTAGATTAAGACAAGGTATATACCTCCAGGATAAAATAGCCACACCTGTGTTTTGTATTTTATTATCTCTTTTTAAGAATGTTTAAGAAATTAATATATTGAAAACCCAGAAGAGCATTAACATCAGTTTTGCTTTTGCAAAAATTCAACACAATCATTTTTATTGACCAACATAGAATAGTATTAGCACATCAGTAGTGTACTCTATATTCATTGATGGTTGTGTCCTTTGAAACAGGTAAAAAACAAAAAAACAAAAAAACAAAAAAAAAACAGAATCGTGAGGGAAAATTAGAGAGGAAAGATAGAGAGAAAATGAGTGCAAGGATTTGTAGCTTAAATCAACCAAAATTAAAGGGACCCCTAAAACACTTTAGCTTGCTGAACTGCTTTATTGGTGAAGAGTCATCTTTTTAATTTTACAAAAAGTGCGGATTTCAATACAAATTGGCACTTGTAAAAATGAATATTGTTATACTCCCTGGCTGTCAATCAGACAACAGCCTAATTGAAGAGGCAGGCAATTACACAGAGCACATGCCTTGCAAAGACTTGTCGTTAAACTGCATTGGGAAATCTGTGATTGGATAGCCACATAAAGTCTAGGCTGGGGAAGAAGGGGAGAGCTTGCAATGGTTTCAGACGAGAGGTCTGTAGCTTTTGCAAGCTGTTAATAGACACTCAAAGTGGAAAAATGCATAATTAAACACATGCATATTTTAATTTGGGATATATCTATTAAACACTGATTTTATTTTTTTGTATTTGGGCAGTGGAGTGTCCCTTTAAAGTAATTTATGCGCTTTGTTTATACTTGTGGTGATTTTTATCACGCTCAACTACTTTCTGCTTGTATTGTTTGTGTAGTGTATAGGAAATACCTTACATTAGAGGGACACTATAGGCTCTCAGACCACTTCATCTTGTTAATGTGGTCTGAGTTCATTTTCCCCGTCCCCCTCAGTCCTGAAATGTAAAACAGTGCCTCTTGTGGCGGTATACCAGAAAGGTCCATGCTTTCCTATGGGGAAGGCCTAATATGCACTGAGCATCTGAGCATGCTCATTAAGTCCCCAGCCACATCGGCTGACAAAGGAGGCACAGCGAGACCAAGCGCTTGTTTATTTAACCATTTACACAATGGGGGTAGGTACAGGGCAGAGGAACAGGTTAGTGTTAGGACTACAAAGATGTGTTCTTAACACTAAAGTGTTCCTTTAATGTTGTAGCTACTTTAGATTAATTCTGGTATATTAAGCACCTTCATTTCCCAGATAATTTTTTGATTGTTTTCTTAAATTAAACATACTCTTTGAAATACTGATATAAGGTAATATATAGCAAGATAAACAAAGATGACACAAGTGCATACATAGCAAAGTGCATCAGCTGATCTTAAAGGAACACTCTGGTGATTAAAAACTTATTCTTCTAAAAAGGTTATTCCTAAATCTAGAATATGTACATTGCTTTAGCTGTAGATCTGACTTCTGCAGCTAAGCTCGTCTCCTTTGATGCCTAGCATGAGCTTTCCGGCAGCCGATCAAATGCTTCTCGTAGAGAACACTGGATTTCAATCAGCTGTTATTGAGCCGAGCTGGGAGATCTGGGGAGGAAGGTTTAGGCTGTACGGCTATATTTACTGAACATAGGCAGCATGTACTAGCGAGCGTGCTCATAGCACTGCACTTGCCAGTGTAAAAGCAGTGATTTTTTTGTCTATAGCATGCAGTGTGTGAGAGTTGTTCTTTGGCATATGAATTACAATACCTTTTGTATTGGCAATATTTCAAGAAGAAACACTGCACCAAATTCTTGATTGGTGAAGTTGTCTGGATTTAACAGTCTCCAGTCAGGCATTTTACTTTTGACCCCTACTTCAGTGCACCATAATCACTTCAACAAGCTGAAGCGGTTATGGTGCTTAGAGTATCTCTTTAAGATAAAGTGAAATAGGTAGTGTATTTCACTTGAAGCCCATATAGATCATCATTGCAACTAACAGGAATATTACATAATCTACAGAAGTGTTTCATTTGAAATCACTAAGTGTGCTGTTTTAAGGGAACTGTCACTCTCCAGAATTTTTATATTATGAACAATGTTCCTTTAAATTCCAACCAGTGCTAAAACTACAGAACTACTGAATGGCGGATGCGACCATCTGCTGGTCCTTCTTTCGAGTGACAGCAACAGCAAAGTGCTTAAAATTAGTCATGGTGCATCAGCGTTTGTAGAGCTGCTGAATTTGACTGGCTGTGTATAGGGACTGAATGCTTGAAACATGGTGCATCTTATTCAGGACAAGTCGGCTGTACTTAAAGAAGAACACAGCTGGTTTAAACTACTGTGAAAGTATGTGTTTCTGTTAAAAAGTTGAGCTTTCCATTTGTAGCCTGAATATAAGTTTCCAAATTTGTCCGTTAGGTTAACTATATTTTCAAAACCGCCAAATAAAACAAAAGCACTAGTAGTGCTTCAGAATGTTATCCATTCTCCCACTGTTTCTGCAAGGTAAAACATTTAAAGGTGAATTCCATGTTAGAATTAAACCTTTTTTGGTTTTTATGCACAAAAAAATAAAATGACAAAGACACCTGCTTTTCAATTTATTTATTTTTGGGGGGGGTGGGGGCAGGACACACATTTTAACTTGATCATGCCAGGATATAAACAGTCAAGAGCCTCTTATTCTTTAGATTGTGAGCTTGTTTGGACAGAGCTCTCTTCACCTACTGTTCCTGTATGTTACACGTTTTGTTAGAATTAAATGTAGTCTACAGTGCTGCTGGTCTATCAAGTCTGAAATGTTTGGTGCATGTTTAACCAAGCTTTGCTAGTATTAAAATGTCAAAGAGACACTGACTGCTAAAAGGGACACTGTAGGCACCCAGATCACTTCATCTCATTGAAGATATGTGCCCCTATTGCCTAAACCCTGCAATGTAAAACATTTCAGTTTTAGAGAACAAATTTGTCTTAACTTTGCATTGTTTACAATGAAAAGTTAAGACAGTTTCTAGTGCAGGGATATACAACCTTTGGCACTCCAGATGTTGTGGACTACATCCCCCTTAATGCTCTTACACACATAATGCTGGCAAAGTATCATGGGAGGTGTAGTCAAAAACATCTTCAGTGCCGAAGGTTGCCTATGCCTGCTCTAGTGGCTTTCTTCCAGAGGTGCCACTAGAGGTGCTTCCTGGTCGCTAACAGTTTAATTCTGCTTTACATGAGAACATCTAATATTTTTAAATTCCTCACGGAGAAGCATTGATTAAATGCTTTTCTATGGAGAAGCTCTAATGCGCATGCTCAGCAGTTGGCAAGGTTTTCATTGCGAGAGGAGGCTATTTAGCCAGTGCCAAGGAAGCCTTGGTGCTGGAAAGTGGTATGTTAACAGTTTTCAACCCTTTATTCACTATGTGGGGAAAAACAGGGACAGAGACAGTATAACATTAGGAATAAAAATGTTGTATTAGTAATGATATAGTGTTCATTTAATGGTGTAGTGTTTCTTTGTCTCTTGCAGAGATTAGATAAGTGGCAGTTACTAGCTAACACATGGGTCGTCAACCTGGTCCCTACCGCCCACTAGTGGGCGTTTCAGGATTCCAGGTGGGCGGTAGGGATTTCCTCATTTTGAGAGATTGGGTGGGCAGGCGGGTGCGAGACGGTGGTACCCCTGCGACTGGGTACCGCCGTCACCATTTGCGTCCCCGGCCGCGCAGCAAACCACCGGGGCCCCCGTCCAAGTGATCCATCGGATGGCCCGGGCTGTCGGGCCACCCGATGGATATGGATTGTCAGGGGGCCCGGTCAGCGCTGGGCGCTTCAACAGCGCGACCGGGCTACCTGTGATGACATCACAGAGCTGGGAGGAAGTGACTGCACGTCACTCCTCCCAGCTAACACACAGACCGCGCGGGAGGAAGCGGAGGGAGTCAGAGTGGGAACTCTGACTCCCATCCACGTGAGCCACCACTGGACCCCAGGGAATGTCACCACTAAAATATTTTGTGTGTCTTTGTGTGTGTGTGTCTTTGTATGTTGTGTGTGTGTGTGTGTGTGTGTGTGTGTGTTTGTCTGTATGTATGTGTGACTTGTGTCTTTGTATGTATGTATGTATGTGTGTGTGTGTCTGTATGTGTGCCTGTCTGTTTGTATGTATGTGTCTTGTGTGTGTCTGTATGTATGTATGTGTGCTTGTCTGTTATAGTGGGCTATAGTAAGTAATAGTAAGTGGGCTACCTAGCTCAGCCTTCCTACTGGGCATTGCTATAAGGAAGGTTAAAAAATAGAAAAAAAAAGGTGGGGAGGGGAATTGGGGAGGGAGAGGAGATGAGCTGACGCACAGATGAGAAATCATATTATGCGCAAACAGAGAAGTCGTCTGAATATCATCGAAAGGAGACCTTCGTTTTGTTCCTTACGAAAATCGAACCAGATATCAAATATTTAGTCTAGCAGCATCAGCCTTAATGATCTAATTAATCACTAATAAAGGTAATTTCAATTTACTTTATTGTTTTCTCATTAAACTTTATAAAGTTAAAAACATTATAAACATGCATTAAGTAAAAATAAAAAGATAAATGTACGTACTTTTTTTTTTTTTTTTTAAACACCCTCCTTTCTAAAAAATATTTCGCAGTTGCGCGAAAACTGGTGGGCGGTAAGGAAATTTTTCCATCAAGAAAGATGCATTTGTGGGCGGTAAGTAGAAAAAAGGTAGACTATCACTGAGCTAACATATGAGATAACATTGTGTGTTTGGGCAAGGATTAATATAACAGAGGTGTTACTGAGTGGCTGGTTTATGTTTTTAAATGAGTTGGTGGATATGGTGTAATGTAGCTACTATGGTCAAATGTTTTCTGCCTGCTAATAGTAGGATATACAGTGGGACCTCGGTTTACAAATGCCTCGGTTAACATAATTTTCGGTTTACAAATGAAAATCCATTGAAAATAATGCCTCGGTTTACAATTTTTTTTTGTAATACAAAGCACCTGGGAGGTTTATAGCATCGCCCACTGCATGTTGGAGCCTATGGGTAGCACGTGGCATCGAGTGTGGAGGTGTTGGAGCGGCTTTTGCATTGAGTTATGGAGCCATTTTGGAAATTGTTTGCAGTTGTTTTGGGACTTTGGTGCATTTCTCGAGCTGTGGAAAGGTAGGGAGCTGAGCTTTGTCGTTTGCATGCCTTTTATTGTGTGTTCTGCATTGTGGGTTGGTTTCCATGCCAGCTCATTTTGACTTTTTTCTGACCTCCAGACCGGATTAATTGGTTTTCAATGCATTCCTATGGGGAAACCACGTTTCAGTTTACAAATGTTTTGCAATAAGAAACGTCCCAGAGAACGCATTAAATTCTTAAACCGAGGTCCCACTGTATATCTTTTTGGTTGTTGAGAAATTTTATTTAGGTTTTTGATGGGTGATATGTGTATTATGTTATCATCAGCTCTGGGAGCCGTCTTGCCTTCAGGGGTTAAACCGTTGCAAAAGTGGATCCTCTGGTACCCAACACAACTGTCAGTAGCCTGAGATCATAGGAGGCTAGGGATTGGCTGAGAGCATAAGCTAATGATTGGAGTCTATCACCGACTGCTTGGCAAAATCTTCCTCATACTGCAGAGGCAGTAAAGAAGCAGAAGTCATCTTTGTTGGGCACCAAAGGTCATACTTTGGGGTTACACTGTTGCAAAATGGGTTACCTCTGAAAGTACCTCGGTACCTGGGCTCTTCTGCCTTCTTAACCACTTCAGGGAATCAAATTTCTGGTTGAGAATTTGGACTAAACAAAAGTCTTGGACAGCAATGTTAAACTTCAGAAGGTGTATCCCAGCAATCAGTAATGTTTAAACTGCATTTAACCATGCGAAAAAGGTAGAAATGTTCTGTGGCAGAAAACAATTTTGCAGCTAGACTTGTGTACTGGATATGTTCTTTTTGCAATCTACAAGTGGACCGCTCCAAATGTACAAATTGAGCCCTGGTAAATACTGTAGTGCCAAAGCTGTATTCCTGGCACTACCGCTGGAATACCCTTTATTTACTTACCTTTTACCAGAGCAGATGTCCCTCAGCGCTGAGTCGATTCTCTGTCCCCTCCTCAGTCCCACGATTAGCAGGGTCTAATGCGCATGCGCGGTAAATGCTATGCATGCTTTAGACCTCCCATAGGAATGCATTGACTCAATGTTTCCTATTGAGATAAAATCTGACTAAAGGTCCATTTCAACTCAGGAAGCCCTCTAGTAGCTTTCTGGTAGACAGCCACCGAGGGCAGACAGAGCTGCAATGTAAACATTGCAGTTTCTATGGAACTGCAATGTTTTACATTGCAGCACTAAGTGCAAAAAGGACACCGTAACCATCCAGACCACTTCAGAGAGCTGAAGTGGTCTGGGTGCCTACCGTGCCTTTTTTAAGTTTTCACATGTGGCTTCAAAGTAGTAGGGAATATGGTACAATGATCTGGGTCTTATATGCTTCAGGACCAGACTGCTGCAAGCAGGAAGAAGTACAGTAACTGAGCGATGTGTATCATTTAACTCTGACTGGAATGACTCCTTTGTGGATCCTGCTGTAAAGAAGTTTAGTGTCATTCCCAGCATCATGTATCATTCATCATTAATTGTGGGAAGGGACAGAGCTACAGCTGAACTACTTAACTGAGCGATGTGTATCATTTAACTCTGACTGGAATGACTCCTTTGTGGATCCTGCTGTAAAGAAGTTTAGTGTCATTCCCAGCATCATGTATCATTCATCATTAATTGTGGGAAGGGACAGAGCTACAGCTGAACTACTTAAAACATGCTTGCATTTACAATTTTTTTTTTTTTTTTTAAATCAGGTGATGCAATAATGTTGCTTTGCTCAAGTTAAAACAAATATAGCATTTAAAGGAATACTTTACGTGCAATCACCATTACAACTCTCTGTAGTGGTCATGGTGCTAGGAGTGCCCTGCTGCCCTCCTTCTCTGGCATCCTGTTGGAAGGTTTAGCTACTTGTTCCAGGGCACTTCTGGAAATCTAATCTCTACAACGGGTTGTATTGTTTATGGTAATTGGAGTGATGCTGGTAACATTAGGGTAACATTTTATGACTAGAGGGTTGGTGATTGCATTGTGCAAATTATGGATTAATTTTATTTTTCCAAAATAATACCTATACATCAGCTTTGAGCTTTGTTTACTGGACGTCCAGGATGTCATTTGGCCAGTCAGGTGCTTATGGTTTATAGAATCTCAACTGTTTACCATGTTTAATTCAGCACTGAGCTTGTTAAATGTAGTGGGAAAGGGGATGGTTAGCAGATTTCAAAGAGCTCTGTACACAGCCTCAATTCTGTGCAGTGCACACAGTTCTGAGAGTTGTAGTTCTTTTATCAGCATTATATTTACGAAAGCTGAACTACCAGAAGCCTTTGCTGTGGTTTTTCGGGAGGACACATGTGGTGCTGCTCAGGTTCAGGAACCAACTAGAAAGAAGTATTTTAGAATGGTGAAGACTAGTGATGTCGCGAACCGTTCGCGAACTTGCCGCGAACGGTTCTCGGCAAACTCCGGTCAGCTGACACATCCCTGACAATCTCCGGCAGACCCGCCCTCCCAGACCCTCCTACTTCCTGCACAGCATCCATGTTGAAGGCAGCTTCAACATGGATGCTGTCCAGGAGGTGGGAGGGTCTGGGAGGGCCGGTCTGCCGGAGATTGGCAGGGATGTGTCAGCTGACCGGAGTTCGCCACGAACCGTTCGCGGCAAGTTCGCGAACAGTTCGCGACATCACTAGTGAAGACTATAAAATGTTAGGGTACGGAATGTGTTTTGCAAAAACTAGCCTACATTAGGTTATAAGCTCAAAAATAAATGTTTTCTAGCCAGTGCATTCAAAACAGGATCCAGAGTAAGCCCCCAAATTATCCTTATTGGAGCAAAAAACCTAGCACAACTGCTTGCTTCCTTTTTATTTTTTTTAGATATGCACCACCAAGTACAAAAAAAAACCAAAACTCTGAGCTCTGTTATTTTTTTTTTACTTATTGCTGCACTAATCAATACTGTTTCTCTAAAGCAAGAAAGCTTGACTAATTAAATATGCAATATTTGACTATTTTAAAAATAAATTACAATTGGGATTTTTCCATTCTACTGGAACCCAAGGAGGAGTGGACTAATGAGAGGTTCATGATTTGGAGAGGGACATGAGTTAAAATATATCTCTGCATGCACAAAGAGACCTGTATTCACACGACATGACCCTTCACATAAACATGACTTCATTCAAACACTCTCTAAAAATGTATCTCTGTATATACTTACACTTCACTAATACTTTGCTCACACTAGGAAATGGCAGAAACCAGTTACCCAGTAATGTCCATTTCATTATTGTCAATGGTAGAGCTGACCAGATCCCATAATGCTCCTCTCTTTAGGGCTTGTGGGATGTGTAGGTCAGCACTTGGCAGTATGTGTGCCCAGGGAGAAGTATTGTTTCCTCCATTGATGTAATTGTTTGAGAGTGATTTTATAGCTAAAGAGATTTTTGCAAATCTTGGCACTTGTGTCAGAAGGGTAACAGGAACAGGAGATCTCCTCGCACCTTAACATGCAAGCATCCTTTAAAAAAAATAAAATAAAAAATAATGTTTTATGGTGATTGGCATGTCTATATTCTTTGTATGACGTGACAAGCGGCAGTAATAAACTACTGTTGTAAGTGCAGAATTAATGTGCATGTCAATACTATTTGCATAATGCAACATATTTTTAGTACATCTAGTTTGTAGTATTCCTTTAATCAGTTGATAATAGCTAGTTTACCTATCTTCTATTAAATAAACTTCCCTTTGAGTGGACACACTATTACAGTCGCAAGAAAAAGTATGTGAACTCTTTGGAATGATATGGATTTCTGCACAAATTGGTCATAAAATGTGATCTGATCATCATCTAAGTCACAACAATAGACAATCACAGTCTGTTAAAACTAATAACACACAAAGAATGAAATGTTGCCATGTTTTTATTGAACACACTATGTAAACATTCACAGTGCAGGTGGAAAACGTATGTGAACCCTTGGATTTAATAACTGGTTGAACCTCCTTTGGCAGCAATAACTTCAACCAAACGTTTCCTGTAGTTGCAGATCAGACGTGCACAACGGTCAGGAGTAATTCTTGACTATTCCTCTTTACAGAACTGTTTTCAGTTCAGCAATATTCTTGGTGATGTCTGGTGTGAATCGCTTTCTTGAGGTCATGCCACAGCATCTCAATCGGGTTGAGGTCAGGACTCTGACTGGGCCACTTCAGAAGGCGTATTTTCTTCTGTTTAAACCATTATGTTGTTGATTTACTTCTATGCTTTGGGTCATTGTCCTGTTGCAACACCCATCTTCTGTTGAGCTTCAGCTGGTAGACAGATGGCCTTAAGTTCTCCTGCAAAATGTCTTGATAAACTTGGGAATTAATTTTTCCTTCAATGATAGCAATCCGTCCAGGCCCTGATGCAGCAAAGCAGCCCCAAACCATGATGCCCCCACCACCATACTTCACAGTTGGGGTGAGGTTTTGATGTTGGTGTGCTGTGCCTTTTTTTCGCCACACATAGTGTTGTGTGTTTCCAAACAACTCAACTTTGGTTTCATCTGTCCACAGAATATTTTGCCAGTGCTGCTGTGGAACATCCAGGTGCTCTTGTGCAAACTGTAAACGTGCAGCAATGTTTTGTTTGGACAGCAGTGGCTTCCTCTGCGGTATTCTCCCATGAAATCCATTCTTGTTTAGTGTTTTACGTATTGTAGATTCGCTAACAGGGATGTTAGCATTTGCCAGTGACTTTTGTAAGTCTTTAGCTGACACTCTAGGATTCTTTTGCACCTCATTGAGCAGTCTGCGCTGTGCTCCTGCAGTCATCTTTACAGGACAGCCACTCCTAGGGAGAGTAGCAGCAGTGCTGAACTTTCTCCATTTATAGACAATTTGTCTTACCGTGGACTGATGAACAGCAAGGCTTTTGGAGATACTTTTATAATCCTTTCTAGCTTTATGCAAGTCAACAATTCTTAATCGTAGGTCTTCTGAGAGCTCTTGTGCAAGGCATCATTCACATCAGGCAATGCTTCTTGTGAAAAGCAAACCCAGAACTGGTGTGTGTTTTTTTTTTATAGGGCAGGGCAGCTGTAACCAACACCTCCAATCTCATCTCATTGATTGGACTCCAGTTGGCTGACATCTCACTCCAATTAGCTCTTGGAGATGTCATTAGTCTAGGGGTTCACATACTTTTCCCACCTGCACTGTGAATGTTTACATGGTGTGTTCAATAAAAACATGGCAACATTTCATTCTTTGTGTGTTATTAGTTTAAGCAGACTGTGATTGTCTATTGTTGTGACTTAGATGATGATCAGATCACATTTTATGACCAATTTGTGCAGAAATCCATATCATTCCAAAGGGTTCACATACTTTTTCTTGCAACTGTATTTTTGTTTGTTTATTTATTTTTTATAAACAATCTTTTATAATGAATAAAGTACAACCTCACAATTTAAAAAACAATACCTGATGCAGTGGACACATTTTAAAAGAGCTCAGTTATTTATAATAGAGGGATACAAAAATGTGTACCCTTCTAGTTGTGCATGCCTATGAAGTAGAGATATTTGTAGCTCTGAAATTCTGCCACTCTCCTTCTCATCTGGTTTTCTCTATTTTGTGTACAATACATCTGAATATACTTAGGGCTTTCACTGAAATGCCAGATTGCCCAGAAGGCTTTAGGCACAGTTAGCCATGCTTTTATGATGGATCATTTTTGACATACCGCTTAGTTAAAACAGCTTTACCAGGGATTCATGTAGAACTTCCTTCTTTTTTTGTGGGCTTTAGTGGTTAACTGCATTAATGTTATACGTGACTTTAAATGTGTTATCCCATGGAAATCATAAACACTGTAATTTTTTTGCTGACTATATTACTATGAATGCAGTAGCTCAAAAGAGTGTAGAATAAACACAACATTGAGATGTCCATATTACTTGCGAAATTGTATTGGAAATTAAGATTTTTCTTTGTGCATCTGCACAGACACACTTTAACCCTAATAAATTGTTTTAAACTAGAAAAAAAAAAACTAAATATATATTTTCTGGTTGAAATATGCCCTGTAGTTATAGTATGGATATGTGTATTGATGTGCATTTTAGTATATTTACAGATTTTACTGAATCTTAAAATTTATTCCAACAAAAATGCTGACACATTAAATTTTGGTTTTATGCAATATTTTTTAGGTGACACAAGAAATGGGATTGTGTCTTGATTATTTATTCCGTTATTAGAATGATCTGTACTGTACCATTTTACTGTATAATTAAGTAATTTTATTTGCCCTTAGAACATGGCTATACCTCCAAGTTACGCTGATTTGGGAAAATCTGCTCGAGATGTCTTCACCAAAGGTTATGGTAAGTGTTGGCAGTAAAAAAGGCTTACCCATCCTATTGGTGGGGGAAGGGCAGAGGGTTACATAGGTGTAGATGAGTACAATCTGGTTAATGAAGTGAGCACAGCTTACATAAAAGGGGAATGATTCCCAATTCTAATTGGTCAGCGCTTGTGGCTGATCCATATTCCTCACAGCTCCAGGAGATATTGGCTGTGTAAACCTCTCCATAGAAACTCTTGTTAACTTTTTCAGTGCTGGCCTTATAACCTTTTATTTGTGATTGCAATTGAAAATTCTGCTACTCTCTCTCTTTCTTTTACCTCTAAGTCAAAGAAATTTAAAAATATAACCATATAAAGATTTATTGGGGAGGTTTATGAAGATATTTAGAAAACAATGCTTTATTATAACTTGTCAGATATATTTTCCATGTTCCATTAAAACACAGATTTGTACATATAAGTACAAAAATAAAGAAATAACCCCCCTCCCCCCAAAGTTGAACGCAAAATAATTTCTAGGCAGAGTTGTTGGGGACAAAGCCATAATGTGTAGGCACTCTCACTCTTAGGCCTGATTTGTAAGTCTCTAATGAAAGACATATTCGGGGGGAGGGTTTGCCTCCCCTTGCCCAATTCAGCAAACGCTAATGCTGGTTATACTAAAATAATGGAGACAGAGAATGAGGAGGCTGACAATATGCATTCAAAATAGAAGAGCAATGAATCAGAAATCAAGCTTGGAGTGTGTGTTGGAGACATTCAGAACTCTCTGTACTCCTCTGTACAAATCTAACATTCTGGGGAAAAAATAATCAGTTTTTGAAAGCATGTATGCAGTAAACAGAGTATATGCTGCATTTGTGCATGGGGTGTACATGTGTAGGTATACTGCACATGCTACCAAACAAACCCTAATAAAAACATTACATATCCTCTTACATGATTACATAATCTTAACACCAAATTGAATTTTGATTGCTGATGCAAAATCTAAATTTCTTTCTTCATTTCAGGTTTTGGCTTCGTAAAGCTTGATATGAAAACGAAATCTGAAAATGGATTGGTAAGTATAGGGAAAAAACCTTTTTAGCACATGATCTTAGAGAAATACTATTGGCACCTAGATCACGTCATCTCAATGTACCATGTCACCCCTATTTTAACCACGCAGCTATATTGCTGTTCTGCAGGTACAGCAATGTTGACATTGCAGGGTTATCATTCCTCTGGCGGCTGCAATACTGTCAGCCACTAGGCACTCTTTTGCAAACATAGGCGATTCTGGTTTGTTTTTTAAAAATATATTTTACATAGAATGGCGATGTTTATATTTCCTGTAGATATATATTTTATCCCACCTGTATGCTTTTTTTGTTAATATACTCAATATACTTAACCCCTTAAGGACTGGACTGTTTTTGCGATGTTGTACATTTGCGACCAGGAATATTTTTACACTTTTCTGGTGTTTGTGTTTGGCTGTAATTTTCCGCTCTCTCATTTACTGTTCCCATACAAAATATATTGTTTTTTTCAGGACAAAAGGGGCTTTCTTTACATACCATTATTTATATAATCTCATGTATTTTAATTTAAAAAAAATAAAAAAATCTGATGAAAAATTGAAAAAATACATGTTTTTTGACTTTTACTTGAAAAATCTTTTACTCATCTACAAAAGCAAATGAAAAAAACTGCTAAATAGATTCAAAATTTTGTCCTGAGTTTAAAAATACCTAGTGTTTACGTGCTTTTTTGCTTTTTTTTGCATGTTATAGGGCTATAGGTACAAGTAGGATATTGCGGTTTCAAAACATACATTTTTAAAATTTATCAATAGTGACATTGTAACACTATTATCTGTCATAAATCTCTGAATAACACCCCACATGTACATATTTTTTTTAAAGTAGACAACCCAGGGTATTCAATATGGGTTATGTCCAGTCTTTTTTAGTAGCCACTTAGTCGAAAACACTGGCCAATGTAAGCATTCATATTTGTTTGTGTGTGAAAAAAGTAAAAAAACTAAATTGAACGCTAATTTTGGCCAGTGTTTGTGACCAAGTGGTTACTAAAAAAGACTGGACATACCCCATTTGCAATACCTTGGGTTGTCTTCTTTTGCAAATGGTATGCCATCATGGGGGTAATTCTCATTCCTGGGCTACCATACGCTCTCAAAGGCAACGTAACCAACCTGGCCATTTTCAATGTAAAAATATTTGACCCATATATTTGACCTTGTAACTTTCAAAAATGCTATAAAACCTGTACATGGGGGGTACTGTTTTACTCGGGAGACATCGCTGAACACAAATATTAGTGTTTAAAAACTGGAAAACGTATCACAACAATTATATCATCAGTAAAAGTGCTGTTTGTGTGTGAAAAATGCAAAAAAAGTAACTTTCACTGACAATATCATCGCTGTGATATGTTTTACTGTTTTGAATCACTAATATTTGTGTTCAGCGAAGTCTCCCGAGTAAAACAGTACCCCCCATGTACAGGTTTTAGGGTGTCGTAGAACGTTACAGGGTAAAATACAGTGCTAGCAAATTAAATTCTCTGGAATTTCGGCCTGGGTTGGCAGGCAGGTCCCTCAAATTGCAATCAATAAAATTACTGAATTATGTAAAAATATTACATAAATACGCACGTAGAATTTAAATATATATGCATATTTATATATTTGAAGTCTACGTGTATATTTATATAATTATTTATGTAATTTTGTATATGGACATATGTATATTTCGTATTATTTTTATTTATTTTTATATATATAGATATATATACAACATCATTCTAAGTGTATTTTGATATAAATATATATATATTAATTTTAAAATACAGTTAGAATAAAATTTCATATAGCTATATAATTTTTTAAAATTTTTTTATTATTTTTAAAAAATTTTATTTAATTTAAATTACTTATTATTTATATTTTATAATAATATATATATACAATCTATATAGTTATTATATATATTATATATATACGTGTGTAATTTAATTATAAGTGTATTTTTATATTAATATAAGTACATATTAATATAAAAATACACTTAGTATGGCATTATATATATGATATATAGACATATATTATATAGATATAATATGTCTATATATCATATTTATACATATATAATTATTATTATTTTTTTTATTACCATTAACTTTAATTTTTTTTCTGATTTTACAGTTGCAGGGAGACTGCCTGTCAGCACAGGCAGTCCCCCTGCAGGCAGCACTATGGACACCCATTGTGACCATGTGATCGCTGTGTTAAGCGATCACATGGCCCCAGGGGTCCTAAATCAGTGTGGGGAGACTGTCTGGGCTGCAGGCAGTCTCCCCACAACCGGAGCCACGCTGATCGCCGCCGGGGGAACGACGGCGATCAGGTAAGTAACGGAAACCGTTAGGACGGTTCAGGACCGTCATCGGTCCTCAATGGGAAAATCCCGATGACGGTCCTGAACCGTCCTCGGTCGGGAAGGGGTTAATATACATGGGCTTATTGTAAACGAAGGTCAAAATGCTTAAAGGAACACTCACACAACTTAAAGGGACTTTCTTCCCTCAAAACTTGATTTTAATAAAATTGTTCTGAGGGCTGTAGTCCCTGCCCTCTGAGTTTCCCCTTCTCTGTTCGACCACCATACTGCAGAAAAGGAAGAGCATTGCTCAGCAAGAGCATTGCTGAGAGCATTACGCACTCTCAATGCATCTCTTATGGCAAGCGTTAGATTGGCTGAGATCATAAATACTGATGATCTCATCAAAGGTGAGTGGTAGCGAGATTGTCATTTGGCAGGGATAAAAGATCAGAAAATCTTGTTTTACTTCTAAATGAGTCTCTAAATCACAGTGAATAAGCTGTTATGTTAAAATTACATATACTTGCATTTCTAAGCGTTTCTATTAAATGTTCTTGCATTTGATTTGATTAATTCATCAACCTATATATCTCGGTTTTCAGTAGGACTCTATTTAATATCCGGATATGTGATGTAAAGTAAAAAGTAAATGTCCTACTTCTTGTGGCCTCTGGAGAACATCTGGAACATTTATAGAGCAAGTTTTTGGATTAAACACTTTTCTCTTTTACAGGAATTTACAAGCTCAGGTTCAGCAAATGCAGAAACAGGAAAAGTTAGTGGCAGCTTGGAAACTAAATACAAGTGGTCAGAATATGGTCTTACATTCACAGAAAAGTGGAACACAGACAACACACTGGGAACAGAGATCACTGTAGAAGATCAGGTATTTAATAAACTAGACTGATTTCTTACATGAAAACTACTTTTCTTTTTATGAACATTGTAAACGAAACTGCCAAATTTCTTTTCTGTTCAGCTTGCCCAAGGATTGAAGTTGACCCTTGACTCCTCATTCTCTCCTAACACTGGGTAAGAATATTAATCCAAACAACTCTTTTCTGTTTTTTTTCTCTTTACAGAAAGAGAAATGTATTTTGCAGCAAAAGCATACAGACTAATCATGATAGACTGCATCCTATTGGAAAATTAATTTCTTTACAATGTGTAGTACTACAATTCATGCTGATACACATAAAGACACATATATACTGCACACATACACACTGATTAGCCACAACATTAAAACCACTGACAGGTAAAATGAATAACTACTGACAAATAACTGAATGGCACTTGTCAAGATCACACATAAGAGCTATTGTAGCTTAAATTACCAAAATGGTGTTGTTTCACAGTGCATCAGAGTTTGCTGCAAATGTGGCGGCATAGTCACAGACAGGCCAGAATGCCCATGATGACCCCTGTCCATTGTCGAAAGTGCCTTCATTGGGGGACGTGAGCATCAGAGCTATACATAGTACAATGGAAGAAGGTTAACCGGTCTGATAAATCACGCTTTCTTTTAGATCAGGTGGCTGGCCGTGTTTGTGCGTGTTGTTTACCTTGGAAGAGATGACATCAAGATGCACTATTGGAAGAAGGCAGGCGGTAGCAGTGTTCTGCTCAGGGCAATGTTGTGCTGGGAAACCTTGGGTCCTGGCATTCTTGTGGATGTTACTTTGACATGTACTACCCCTTCATTGCAGACTACGTACACCCCTTCATGGCAATGGTTTTCCCTGATGACAGTGACCTCTTTCAGAAGGATAATGCACTTTGCCACACTGCAAAAATTTTTACGAATGGTTTGAGGAACATGACAAATTGTTCAAGGTGTTGCCTTGGCTTTAAAATTCTCCAGATCTCAGTCCACCTGAATATCTGTGGAATGTGCTGGAACAGTAAATCTGATCTTAAAGGATCTTCTACTAATATCTGGTGCCAGGTACCACAGGACGCATTCAGAGGTCTTGTGGAGTCCATGCCTTGATGCATCAGAGCTGTATTTTTACACCTGTCAAATTGCGTAGCATGTGCATAGAGAAAAGATTTGATACACGAAACCCAAAAAAAGGTTATGTCAACACTATGCTAGTTTGTTATGCCAAGAATTAAATCTGTTAAATATATAATTGAAAAAGGTTAACACAAGTCATAGATTAGTTTCAATGTTTTGTTTAGTGGTGTAGATTTCAGAGAACTAACAGTTCTCCTTTAAGACTCTTGCGCTTTGTAAACCTGAGACCAGACCAAACTTGTTGAGAGTGGTGGCTCATTGTTATGACATTATTACAAAACTATGTTGTAACTTTCTGTTAGGGGCTCTACAATCAACTCTCAAATAATTCTATGAGCCATAGGACGATGGCATCTTAAAGAAATATGATAATTTAACAAATAGATGTTCATATTGAGCACTAAATAGCTGGGTTTAATCTTTTGGACCAATACCTAAAAGAAATGTAGCCTTGTAAATTAAGATATATTTGACATGTTGATGACTGCATGACATGGTTGCACATACTATCAAAGCATGACGTCACCTGGCATTTATTCAAGGTAGAAGCGTATAAGACTTCACGCTTCCAGTCATTAAAATCTTTACATTAACTAGCAACTATCATCTTGATATCTGCTTATTATGAAACACCATACTTGGTATAGGGTCAGACATAATTAAAGAGACATTCCAGACCCCTAAAGCACTTTAACCCAATGAAAAGCTTTGTGTGAAGAGCGTGTCCTATTTTTTTTCATTTTGCAAAAAGTGTAGATTTCAATAGAAATGGACTATTTAAAAAAATTAACCTCGTTACACGCTCCCAGCTTTCAAGCAGACAACAGGGGAGCCAGAAGCTTAGGGCTTAGCTTATTGGCTGACATGGCAACGCTGAAGCTCTAAGACAGTGATCCAGCCCTGCACTGTACTGCTCAGGGGGGCAAACAGAAACTCCATGTAGGAGACCAGTGAAAATGATCAAACTGTTCATCACTACTGGCACCATAACTAATACAGCATGCTGTAGTGTTTATGATCCTTGGAATGTTCCTTTAAGTTAGACTTTAATTATCTGTATCTGCAGTGCATTAATACCTATGGAAGCTTAATTATGAGGTATAATTAAACCTCTGAGCAAAGGGTACAACTATTGATTTCATTGGAATGTTTATTTTAAACCTGTGAGTTAATAAAAATACTGGTTCGACTCCTCAAGATTTGCCAAATGTAATTGTTCTGATTAAATTATTTGACTATGTAATAATTAACAGCACTTGGGGACCTTAACAGAGTTGGCAATAAAATGAAAATATTTATTTTTCATCCCTCGTTAATGTCTATGTACAGCCAAGTTCTTGAGAAAATTGTTTTGAAAAGCTTCTTACACTTAGAATACTTGTCATCAAATCAATTGGAACATAAATTAGAGAAGCATTGAGATCAGATGTATGCATTTGTCTTGGGGAGAACTTCAAAATGTCTGTAAATTGGGATTTTTGTTCATTTAGTCAGAAAAAGAAATCTACCATATGGCTCACTGACTGAATGTCATTCGGTAATCACGTACGCAACACTGCATCCAATGAGCAGTTTTCTGACCAATCCTGTGACCAAAATAATGGACCAATCATTGTTGATATTGATTGTTTTATTGCTATCTTGAACTTTAAAAGGGATGGCATTGACAATCTGTAAATAGGACTACTTGTCAGTTTTTTTTTAAATTTAATTTACTGTTGCTGGAACACTAAGAGAGTGAACTGGCAGCATTGTGTTGGTAGTTTTTCTACTGAGAGAAACTGAGCTAGTGTCAGAATTATAGTTGATCCAGCACGCAGAATTGTATCACACCTAAAGACTAAGGATAACTTCTAACCGGACCTTAGAATGGCCAGACTTAACGTAGCTGACAAGAGTCAAAATACTCGCCGAGGTCAGGGACACAGAATGCCAGAGCGATCACATGGGCACAATAGCTGCCTGCAGGGGGACTGCCTGGTTATGTCAGACAGTGCCCTTGCTGGTGGTAAATGTAAAAAAAAAAAATTAATAATAATTTAGATTAATTTAAAAAATAAATAAATATGTATGTATGTATGTATTAAGGCAATTTGCCAGGATTTGTGGGAGGTGCTGGTTTGCTACCCCTAGCCTACTTAAGGCACTCCCCTTACCTGGCTCCTTACCGTTCGAGGTCAGTGTTGATCCACTTCCGGGTTCTCTCAGATGCCATCTTGGTTTCAGTATCCACTAGGTTTTACCGTGATAGCTGTGTCCAGGAATCCTGTTCAGGCCTTTTCTGCCCGTTCAGCTTCTTCTGACCCCGGTCTTCGTCGTAGATCGCGTCCCAGGGACTCCTAAACCGTAAGTCAGACCTACCTGTCACGCCAGGACCGGTTCCCATGGCGTACGGTACAGCACGGGTCCTCTCTTTACGGTTTTCCCTATTATGTCACGAATGGTACAAGCCGTTCGTGGGTTTTTCATTCATACTGTCATTCGGCTGAACAGTATATTCGTAAAAATAGTCATTTCGCATATAACTATTCCATGTTACATTGAAACGGATTATCAATTCGGTTGTTTTGCCGTTCGGCAATTTTCAATACACGTTTCAAACACGCTTGCGGTTCGCATAAGTTCATACGTTTAAACTATTCGTTCCAACTTCTGTTTTCCCTCACATTGGGTTTCGGTTGTATTTCTATGAATTACGCATAATCCTTTCGTGGATTATATTCACGTTTCATGTATATACATTCGGTTAACAAATTGCTTGTTTAAATAGACAGATTATTTCTATTACCCTTTAAATGTTTCAGTATTGTATTATGTCCATACAACCAAGCTTTCAGGGGTCTGCATTACTTATCCATTTATCCACATGGACTCAGCCTACATTACAGGCCTTATTTCTGTGTTATTACTACACATACAAAAGGATACAGTTTCATTTACAAGCAATAAATTCTCGGGTTGAATCACGTACTGATCCAACCAATCATACGTCTTTTTCAATACAGATTTATCATATATATACATCACTTTGCATCACTTTAAGCATTTTTTGTATCCCTGCCCCTTTTATTATTCTACTACATATCACACATAACGCTGTGTAAAGTAGGCCATGACCCTCATCCATGTTCTTTTCTATTAAACCAGCTACATTTCTGTATGGATAATTGAACTCCCACGCTTACAGGAGTTTTCATAATTATCCATTTTCATTTCAATTAACTCAGCCTACATTACAGGCCTCATTTCTTTGTTATGACCATGACACATAAGGCTTTAATTCCTTTTCATGCATACTCGGGTTGAATCACACATACTGATCCAACCAATCATACGTTTCCTGCACAGTAATATACACATATATATATAACCTACATTTTATGTTTCCCTTACACACCATTATCATATAACAAATATGTTGTTTGTACATAGGCCATGGCCTCCCTCAGATGTCTTATTTAAGCATGACAACATTTCTGAGTAACTCATATCTATTCCCATGGTATCAACATTTTCAAAAACATTGCTGCTACAGGTCTGTTTTCTTTCCAACAATCCACACTCATCATACTACTCTCTTTTACCCATTTCAGGCTGTCAAGCTTATATATATTTGCTCCACACAGTTTATTCCTGTGAATTTGTCATACTACCAGGTACGTACACCTGCTCATATGGTATTCTACCATACATTTCATTTCGTCCCCCTAGGTACTGGCAATAGGGTCACAGGCTTCCCAATAGGTATTTACCCCGTCTTGGCAGTTGCCATCAGTTAGTGGTCCCGCGAGGCCAACACCCCGCCTCAAACGTTTCAGAGGCAAACACCCATCGGGCCACACGTTAGCTAGCCGCCTCGCATGTTGCATAGAGAGGGCCTCACCTGTCACTCCCTTCCCCTGTTTTCTGTCTTACAGTCACCGAGAGGCCTAAAACTCCTGCCACTACGTCGAGTGGCCTCAATAACCCCTCGCGCCAACGCATAGATAGAGCCTCTCAAGCCGCTTGGCAATTAGCAGGGCCTCATCTGTCACCAAACAAGTATAATGTTTCGCCATCCGGCCTAGCTAGCCTGCCAGTACAATTTGGTGGTTTCATATACTAATTAATTGTTTTATTTATAGTATGTCTCAGGAAGGGGTAGAGGATTTCTCCCTGCCTAGCACCCCGGCTAGAGCTGTCACTCCCACACAAGGAGGAGAGTTAGCTAGTCCAGCATCGATCAGATCTTGGACGATCCCGCATATAACCACAAATCCCCTACCCCGCTACAGCAAGGAAAGCAGAACTTTTTAAACTGCTACGCACATTGACAAATAACATGGATGCCGGGGAAGGACCTAGCCAGTCCAACCCAGGAGACATACATGCCATGTTATCCTCACTCATGGCGTCCATGAGCAAGGTCAACTCCAAGGTCAACTCGGTCACCACTGCCCTTACTCTAGTAGGGCCACCCGCTGCTGCTTCACAAGCACCAGCCGACTTGCCATTAGTTGCTCCAGCCATCACCCTGAATGACCAGGAAGTTAGCCCGGCTCATATGATACCTGAGCACATAAAAAGGGATATCCTGGAAGGTAAAAACGTCAACCTGGCTTCCCTGTTGATTGCCTCCCAGGATATTGTTGAGAATAAGATGTATGCTTATGATGATGTATCTGTTGTTGTCAGATCTAGGGATGCCCGCCTGAACAGGAAACTGACTATCCCTGAATTTGTACTAGCTTTTGGTATTTACAGGGATGTCATCTGTGCGGTCTATCCCAACAGAAGAGAGGAGTTTCATCTCTATATGCACAAGCTGGTAGACCTGGGCAACAAATATGGTGGTTCAGCCTTCTATGACTACCATAGGTCTTTTTCTGCAAAAGTGTCTGGAGCCTTCTCCCAGTACGGTACACGATCCAACTGGGGAAGGATTGATACTGTCTTATTTTGCAGACACTTTGCAGGTCTAAGAACACCGGCTTGTGCATACTGCTCCTCCACAGCCCATACTACAAATTTTTGTCCCAACACGGCGGACGGACATGCCTCCACGCAAGGAGCTAGTTCCTCTCGGGATCCAGGGAAGTTGTCAAGAGACAAACTGGGACGCCCAATCAAGTTTCTGGGCAAGTCCCAGATATGTAATAATTTCAATGTTGGGTCTTGTAATTACAGTGGATGTAGACTATTGCATGTCTGTTCAAAATGTTTTAGGGCACATGCAAAGACCATGTGTCCAAATAAAATGTATTCCAAGCCTTACCTAACGTCCATTAATATGCCATTTGTGACGAAGTGCTGTTCGCCACTTGTGCCTGGAGAGGACTGCTTGCCCGCCTCTTGCCCTGTGACTATGGCCCCTGGGATGTATTGCCCTTTAAAGACATGATTTGGGCATAATGGATTTGTGTTGTGCTGCTGCTGGCCCTTTAAGAACCATCTGGGGACATACTGTGGAGTTACTGGGTGGCCACCATTTCCTGTATCAGAAGCACATGGTGAGAACAATGGATGGCGGCCATTTTAACTCACAGACACTGTTTGGACTTTTCAACACGGTGCCATCTCTCCAGTATTTGGTGCACAGAGACATCGTGCAGTGGTTTTGGACTATACAGCAGGGGACACATTATAAAGTGATTGTTTTTCATTTAGCCTGTATATGTTCTGCAGAATCTGCATTAAACTGTATTTTCCAAAGTACTGAACGGATCTGGGTGAATTTTGGATATGTGGTTCACCCAGATCCCCCAGTTCCAATGATATACTTTTTATGGGGTTATTGCATGTTTTGGGGTCCCTGTGTGTTTTATGAAACTGTATTATTTCTGGCCAGCAGATAATTGAGCTTTGTGTATTGTAGAAACTCAATTATCTAGCCTGGCCCAGAGGAGGAGTTTTGTGTTGCATAAATTGTGAGTTCTGTGTGCCAGTAAATCAGTCTTGTTCCAGCATTAAGCCTTGGCTCATGTTTGGGGGAAGGGATACCTACACTCTGGGGATTGCTATAATCACTTACTCCCCAGAGGAAGCTCTTGCAATAGCTTGATTTGTTCCTGTTCCTGCTCTCTGGGGAAAGAGAGGTTCACCCACTGGAAGCTGGATCCTGGCCTTGGGTCCAGGGTGGGTGGAAACAGCAGAGACCCCGGCGCAGTTGCATCGCTGGAAGTGGGGTCTGCAGTGCTGATGGTGTCGGTTGGAGTGCTTGGAGTCCTCAGCGAGCGCTAGGAGCATCGATTGGCGGAGGTACTCAGTCGGAGTGCCAGCGGTCCGTCACACCATTATTCACGGCATTTATGTCTCAGGACCCATCTAGACACCTAGTAGACTTTCTTATCTGTGGTTTAACAGAAGGCTTCCATACAGGTATCCTACACATACCAGCTGGAACTCTGGAATACCCTAATCTACAATCCGCCCAACACAATCCCACAGCGGTTGACATCCTCATAGCCCAAGAAGTGGATGAGGGCTTCGTATTGGGGCCTTTTAGAACTTCTCCATTCATAGAATGGCGCACCAACCCCATTGGTATTGTCACAGGGAAATCTTCCCAAAAACAGAGACTCATCATTGACTTATCGGCACCCCACTCATCGGCCAACCCCAGTCTTAATTCCCTTATTCCCTCTGAGGAATTTTCTCTGCAATACACCAGCATAGATCACGCCATTACCGCTATCATACAAGCAGGGGTTGGAGCCTGGCTCAGTAAGACCGATATTACTAACGCCTTTAAATTACTCCCAATCCACCCCACACTGTGGCACCTCCATGGCATCAAGTGGTCCGGGAACTACTACTTTTTCTCCCGGTTAACTTTTGGGTCCAAAAGTAGCCCAGCTATTTTTGACACATTTGCCGAAGCATTATGCTGGTTACTATTGAACATAGCCAGATGCCCTACGGTATTACATTAACTGGACGATTTCCTACTGGTCGAGGAGAATATTTCGCCTCCCACAAGTCTCAAAGCTACCACTAAGCTATTTGAGCCAGACACGGTTGTCACTTTTCTGGGTATCCATTTAGACTCCGCCACAATGCAAGCAAGCCTACCATACGATAAGATAGAGAATATTCTCAGTTACATAAACAGCTACCTTCAGCTCGGTACTTGCAACCGCAAAGAGCTACAGTCCCTGCTAGGGTCACTTAATTTTGCTATGCGCATCATACCTCAAGGCCGCTCCTTTATATCACTACTATTGCATCTTTTCCCACTTTTCCTACATGACACGCACAGGTTGTCCTTAGATACCCAAGCTACGGCAGATCTAAACATGTGGAAGAAATTTCTAACCACTTGGAATGGTAAAAGTATGTTCCTCCCTCAATTGACTGACTCATCTCCTACCATTTGGTCAGATGCGGCATTTACCACTGGTTTTGCAGCAATTTTTGGGAACGAATGTCTTTGGGGCAGCTGGCCTTCAGCAGTTCAGGATTTGGAAGGTTTTTCCACTACTTCAGCTCTTTTTGATATCTGTTCCATCGTGGCGGCTGACGTAGCATGGGGTAATTTATGGGCTAATATGCCAGTGCGTTGTTACTCAGACAACCAGGCAACCTGTCACATCATCAACAAAGGTCGTTCCAAATCCCTTACGATCATGAGATTTCTAAGGAAACTCACTTGGTTGGCAGCTTGTCATAATTTTTCCTATGTTGTTTCCATGTTCCAGGTGTATGTAACACAGCTGCTGACAATTTGTCTCACTTTAAATTTCAGGAGTTTCATCAAGCACTCCCGTCAGCTGCGCCCACAGCCACCATCACTCCAACATTTCAACAACTCATACTGGACTAGACACCATCATGCAGCATAGCAGGACATTGTCCCAACTGGCACTTTCAAACAATACACACAAAACATACAACAGGGCTTTCACATAATTCAAACGATTCCTTTTGGAACATAAAATCATGCAACCATTTGTCATGACATCTTTTTTGGGGTTTGCTTCCTTTTGCCACCTTAAACTCAAAATGTCATATAACACCATCAAACTCTATCTCACTGGCATTCAACACCACATGCTAATCTTACACCCAAATAACAACAGTTTCATGGCCTCTCACCAAATTAAGACAATACTCAGAGGTATTCAGAAATCAGAACCCACACATACAACCCAGAGGCTACCCATAGATAACCATATCTTCAAAGCATTGTCTAACCTGCTTGACTTAAAAACGTTTGACACCAATACAAATTCTGTCATCAAAACAGCAATATACATCGCTTTCTATGGAATTCTAAGACCTAGAGAATTCACTACAACCTCCACGAATCAAACTACTCCGTTCCTCCTCTATTCCCACTTGACAAAACATATGGATCATTACATCCTGACTTTACTTCACTCCAAAACCAGTCAGCAAATACCGTAAACATACCGTACTATCCCACGCACAACAGCTGGTGTCCCGTCAGGGTTCTTGATGCCTACATACAGCATCATAACTTACTGCCCTCACAACCATTACTACAGCTACAAGGTGCAGTACTCACCACTACAACCTTCATGACCTATGTCAGGTCCTTGCTCACACAACTGGGCCTCAACGCAGCCAAATACTCAGGGCACTCCTTTCGTATAGGAGCCGCGTCCACAGCCTCCAGTGTCAACATCCCAACTCATGTTATCAAAACACTGGGGCGCTGGAAGTCATCCGCTTACTCACGGTACATACCAAACCCAGTACAAGAATTAAGGGATGCTTTCAAAAACATGTCTGGTTGATAAAATGTATATGTATTGGTTGTCTGTAATAAATTTGATTACTTAATTTTTGCCCTCTTCTTTCTCAGGCCTACCTCATCGTCGGTTCCGGCACACCACAACCGACTTGCTCTTTTTACTATCCTACATTTATTTATGGTATTTCACACTGTACTATCATAAGCACCTAACACAAATATATATATATATATATATATATATATATATATATATATATATATATATACACAATGTTAAACAAAAATCTGCACACCAGTCAAGCCATAAGACTTGCTTTTCCCACAGAGAACTATATAGTTCAAGTAGAGATTGTAGCCGTATTAGTCCAGTGATGTAGATGTAAAAAACAGATAAAATGTGTATCTTGTAATACCTTTTTTTTATTGGACTAACAGAATTTTTTAATGACAAGCTTTCGGGAGAACCTCCCTTTCTCAAGTCTGAAGCATTTCAGAGCAAGAAGACACATAGAATTCAAAGTTGAGTTGTGATTCAGGGGTTAAAGCGACATGAGTGTATATAAGACACAGGTTTGTTAGAAAATAGACACCGTTTTTGCAGAGGGTCATAAATATCTTTGTGAAGAGCAGTGTGAGGGGGGAGAGAGGGAGAAGAAAAACAAACAAGCAGATACGAATTATATGTTTTATACATATATATATATATGTATATATATAACAAATTGGTGTATTTTATATTAATATAATTACATATATTAGTGTTAATATTGATATATATATTATAATAGTGTAAATTAGATTAGCCTTATTAGTCCAGTAGACAAGATGCCAAAATACCAGAGTATTGCAGTATGAAATAATCTGGTATTTTGGTGTGTGTGTGTGTGTATTTACTATATATTAAGAATTAAAACAAAAAATTAATTATATATACATATGTAATTTCCTTTTAACTGAATTTTAATTTTATATATATATATATATATATATGTGTGTGTGTGTGTGTGTGTGTGTGTGTGTGTAACAAAATACACTTAGATGTATATAAAATGTCTTTCTATCTATATATAAATATATATATATATATATATATGATTACATACGTTTACATGTAAAATTTAAATACATTTATGTATTAAAATTCTACGTGTATATTTATGTTATTGTTTTAACACAATTATTTGATTTTATTAATTAAAATTTGAGGACCATGTCTGACAATCCAGGCAGAAAGTCCAGAGAATTTGATTTGCAACCCTATATTTATCCTTGTAACTTTCCAAGACACCGTAATACCCGTACTGTTTTACTTGGGAGACTTCGCTGAACACAAATATTAGTGTTTCAAAATGATAAATTGCATGACAACGATGATATCGTCCGTGAAAGTGAAGTTTTTGGCATTTTTCACACACAAACCGCACTTTCAGTGGCAATATTATTGCTATACATTTCACTGTTTTGAAACACTAATATTTGTGTTCAGTGAAGTCTCCCGAGTAAAACACTACCCCATGTACAGATTTTATGGTGTTTTGGAAAATTAGAGCGTCAAATATGTACAATTTACTCCGTCCTTAAGTGGTTAATTAATAGAGAATTAATCTTCTCAGTAGTTTTACTTAAAGGACCACTATAGTGCCAGGAAAACATACTCGTTTTCCTGGCACTATAGTTCCCTGAGGGTGCCCCCACCGTCAGGGACCCCCTCCCGCCCGGCTCTGGAAGGAGGAAAGGGGTAATAACTTACCTTTTTCCAGCGCTGGGCGGAGAGCTCTCCTCCTCCTCTCCGCCTCCGATCCTCCCCGCCGGCTGAATGCGCACGCGTGGCAAGAGCTGCGCGCGCATTCAGCCCGTCGCATAGGAAAGCATTTACAATGCTTTCCTATGGACGCTTGCGTGCTCTCACTGTGAAAATCGCAGTGAGAAGCACGCAAGCGCCTCTAGTGGCTGTCAATGAGACAGCCACTAGAGGATTAGGGGGAAGGCTTAACCCATTCATAATTATAGCAGTTTCTCTGAAACTGCTATAATTATGAAAAAATGGGTTAACCCTAGCTGGACCTGGCACCCAAACCACTTCATTAAGCTGAAGTGGTCTGAGTGCCTAGAGTGGTCCTTTAAGGGAGATTTACTTGGGAGAACGGGCAGTAAAGTGATTCACAGGAAGTAGTGGGCTGAAAGCACTGCAGATTTTTTGCTGTAAAAAAATTATACAGAATATTTTATTTTTCTAAAACAATTAGTGCTCTGAATCTATTTTAGTCCATTCAGTGCATCTACTTTTTCTTTGTTTAAGCTTCAGCTGCAGATAGAAGCACTATGGGTCAGCAGAATCAGCAGCAACAACCTTGGGGAAAAATGTCTGACTCACCACCTTTTGATATGTTCATGGCCATTAGCCTTGTGTTCCAGTATCATAGCCAAAATATACATTAATACTTACTGTAGCGGAACGCCAATATTAAATCCACGAATTCCGCTGGTTCAGGAAGTAATCCACAGTCAAGCGCTGAAACAACAAGGCAATATCCCCAACCTCCCAGTAACCGGACGAAACACAGTTCTGAGAGTCAACTGAAATCCTTTAATTCTGCTGCACAATTTATACAAGTCCCCATGCAAGGGGTTTCCTGAGTCCCTTCCCAGGGGCACTCCTAGAGGGGACTACATGGGGGACTTACATTACAAGGCATTTTTCCCATCAGGCACTGCTGCACGAGAGGGATCCTCCCACTGGAATATACCGTTAAGTGGATTATCCCTCCGTGCAGCAGAACTTACAATTCGTATAAAAATACATAACTTTATGAATATGCAGTCTATTTAAACGAATGGACGTTCGGTAGATAGCTGGGGTCTGAGCGCATCATTCGTGAGATTACCGCTCAGATCCCAGCTAAAATAACCGAACGCCGCACGAAAAACACATTCATTACAAAATATATTAAAAGAACCGATTGCCTTCCAGGGAATAAAATACCGAACGGCCTGAAACTCCCGAACGTCCTGGAGGCTCAGCGGTGTTCGTGCCGTCGAGTAGCCGTTTTTAGTACCATGCGCTCGACGACCTAGCACCGCTGAGGGAACAAAGGATCCAAGATGGCCGACCGCCGCATGGTCGGTAGTCGAACGACGGCCACCCAGGAGAGCCTCTAATTACCGATTGCAACATTGTTGCAATCGGTTAACCAGCGCCACACGCCTCTAAGTGTGTGGGCTATTAGGGGTAGTGTTTTCGGTTCACGAACGGCCCTCCAAAGTGCCGTTCGTGAAACGAAAGGAAAACCCCATACAAACCGCTATCTGCATTCGGCGGATAGCAAATACAGGCAATCCAATACATTACAGTCAGCATACAATATATGGAGTAAAACACATATCTCCCCAGACATATAGGCAACCCTTAAAGGTACAGTCTCTGGTTATAGTCCAAGTGGCTAGGTTTGCCACAATGCTCCCCCAGAACCAAGCCGGCATACACAGTCTGATCCCAACGGATCGGCTTGGGGATGTCCGGAGGAGGCTCACAGATCACTTCTCAAGGTCTGTTTGTCTAGATAACCCGTCGGCGTTACCGTTTTGTTTCCCGGGACGATAATGAATGGTAAAGTCAAAAGGCTGCAACGCCAAACTCCAGCGCAGCAGCCTGGCATTGTCTCCAGCCACACGGTTCAGCCACACCAACGGGTTGTGATCTGTGAGCAAGGAAAAGGGTTGCCCATAGAGATATGGCTGTAACTTTTTCAGGGCCCACACCACGGCCAGGCATTCTTTTTCTATGGCGGCGTAGCTCACTTCTCGAGGTAACAATTTCCGACTCAAATATGCTACGGGATGTTCTCCGCCATCTGCTCCGACCTGGCTCAGTACTGCTCCCAATCCAAACATGGAGGCGTCTGTGTGGACAAGAAAACGTTTAGTTGGATCAGGAGCAGCCAGTACCGGGGCATTGGTCAGAGCCGTCTTCAGTTGGTTGAATGCCTGTTCACACTCTGGGGCCCAGATGACCTGCCTGGGCAGGTTTTTCTTCGTTAAGTCAGTCAGGGTTTTGGCCAGGGCACTGTAATTGGGCACAAATTTTCTATAATACCCGGCGGTACCTAAAAAAAGCAAGGACTTGGGTTTTGGTCCTGGGGTAGGCCACTGGGCTACAGCTTCAACCTTTGCGGGCTCAGGCTTCTGTTGCCCGCTACCTTCCCTGTGCCCTAAGTATTGGACCTCTGCCATCCCTATGTGGCACTTGCTTGGCTTCAAGGTAAGCCCTGCCTCCCGGATCCGATCTATTACAGCCCCTATATGTCGTAGGTGATCTGACCAGGTCTGACTGTAAATGGCAATATCATCCAGGTATGCACACGCATAATCCTGGAACCAGTCCAGTAGCCGATCCACCATCCGCTGGAAGGTCGCGGGGGCGTTCTTCATCCCGAATGGCATGACTCGAAATTGGTACAAGCCAAACAGGGTGACAAACGCCGACTTGGGGATGGCGTCTTCGGCTAGTGGAATTTGCCAGTATCCCTTACAAAGATCTATGGTTGTGAGATACTGACCACTGGCCATCCTATCTAGCAGTTCGTCTATCCGGGGCATCGGGTAGGCGTCCGACATGGTTTTGTCGTTCAACCTCCGGTAGTCCACGCAGAACCGGGTGGTACCGTCTTTCTGGGGGACCAGGACTACCGTCTGCCATCAGTACGGTCAATATGTCCAGGGGTACTGGCTGGGGTACAAATTCCAACCGGGTTCTCAGTTCCTTCTGATATGGTGTTTCCTCCCTGGCCGGTGGGGGTGGACTGCTGTGTGCTTGGTCGCCTTCCATCAGCTCTGTAATGAGTACTGCTTTAGATTTGTTGCTAGCGCTTTTCCCTCTAGCCTCCAGCAGTTCCTGCCTCTTTAATGCCGTGTAATCCGTCCCCATTCACTGATCGCTTTCGTCTGTTTGTTTCATACGAATTGCCTTTCCCTTTTCCGTTCGGTTGTTCCTTTCATTCGAATGCGCTGTATTCGGCTGTAGAGTTGGATCCCGTCGCTTGCCACCAATTGTAGCGGAACGCCAATATTAAATCCACGAATTCCGCTGGTTCAGGAAGTAATCCACAGTCAAGCGCTGAAACAACAAGGCAATATCCCCAACCTCCCAGTAACCGGACGAAACACAGTTCTGAGAATCAACTGAAATCCTTTAATTCGGCTGCACAATTTATACAAGTCCCCATGCAAGGGGTTTCCTGAGTCCCTTCCCAGGGGCACTCCCAGAGGGGACTACATGGGGGACTTACATTACAAGGCATTTTTCCCATCAAGCACTGCTGCACGAGAGGGGTCCTCCCACTGGAATATACCGTTAAGTGGATTATCCCTCCGTGCAGCAGAACTTACAATTCGTATAAAAATACATAACTTTATGAATATGCAGTCTATTTAAACGAATGGACGTTCGGTAGATAGCTGGGGTCTGAGCGCATCATTCGTGAGATTACCGCTCAGATCCCAGCTAAAATAACCGAACGCCGCACGAAAAACACATTCATTACAAAATATATTAAAAGAACCGATTGCCTTCCAGGGAATAAAATACCGAACGGCCTGAAACTCCCGAACGTCCTGGAGGCTCAGCGGTGTTCGTGCCGTCGAGTAGCCGTTTTTAGTACCATGCGCTCGACGACCTAGCACCGCTGAGGGAACAAAGGATCCAAGATGGCCGACCGCCGCATGGTCGGTAGTCGAACGACGGCCACCCAGGAGAGCCTCTAATTACCGATTGCAACATTGTTGCAATCGGTTAACCAGCGCCACACGCCTCTAAGTGTGTGGGCTATTAGGGGTAGTGTTTTCGGTTCACGAACGGCCCTCCAAAGTGCCGTTCGTGAAACGAAAGAAAAACCCCATACAAATCGCCATCTGCATTCGGCAGATGGCAAATACAGGCAATTCAGTACTTTACAGGTAGCATACAACATATAGAGTAAAGTACATATCTCCCCCGACATATAGGCAACCCTTAAAGGTATAGTCTCTGGTTATAGTCAAAGTGGCTAGGTTTGCCACACTTACCCACATATTAAAGGACCACTATAGTGCCCCAAGGGTGCCCCCACCCTCAGGGTCCCCCTCCCGCCGAGCTCTAGAGGTTGGAAGGGGTTAAACTTACCTCTTTCTCCAGTGTCGGGCGGGGAGCTCTCCTCCTCCTCTCCTCCCTCTTCTCCTCCTCTTCGGTTGAATGTGCATGCGTGTCAGGAGCTGCGCGTGCATTCAGCCAGTCCATAGGAAAGCATTCACTGCCAAGTTTATAGAAAAAGGGTTAACCCTAGATGGACCAGGCACCCAGACCACCTCATTAAGCTGAAGTGGTCTGGGTGCCTATAGTGGTCCTGTAATAATTAAGCCTCGTTTTTATTATATTTAGAATGGGACTAGCACAGTCTTCTAATCAAGCCTAAACATGAGTTGCGTAACTTACGCCATTGGGCAGGATTGTGATGTCCGATATTTTAGGTCACAAGTAAGAAGTATGACATATCTATGTAATGGAAAAATGGCATCCCATTCATAGATGCAATTATTATTTCTGGGGCAAGTACAAGAAGATAGAAGAAAAAGTTTCTATTTGGATTGATTTTGGTCTGGAACACAAGGGGGTGGTCACTTATTGTCTCTATAAATAAGCCTTCTCTCCACCTTTGGGCCAGGCTTGGTAATCCTCAGGATAAATATATCTAATGATACTGAGATGTGTATTGTACTTGCTTGGGGCCAGAATCTAATTCTAAGTGAGTCACCAGCTTTCTTACCAGAGACCCCCTGAGCAAAAGTTTTACTTTGAAAACCAGAGTAAGTGATTAGGACTTCTGTTATTTATTTATTTTTTTGTGCATGAAATAACAGTATACCTGCTCTGCCCCAATAGCAGTCGCAAGTATTATGGTGACAGGCATAACTAAAAAAAGTATGGCTTTTCATAAGAATAGACAGCACTTTTTTTTTTTTTTTTAAGTAAGTTAAGAGAAAGTTAAAACAGTGGATTTGGCATAACATATGAAACGTGAGAAACATTTTTTTCCTGTCTGATTTGGGTTAATGCTATGTTTTTGTTGTACATGCTAAATGTTTAAAAGTTCAACATCTATTTACGTATACAGGCTTGGGTTATTCTATGCTTGTGTGGTGTGCTAGGCAAAGGCTTAGTGAATCTTCTACATGTGTGCTCGCTATTATAAATTGACTGTGTGCGGGAGTATATTTTAAGGCGGTACTACAACTCATTTACAATCGATTGCCTTTGTGTACTAAGTGTGCCCTACGCATAATGACTGTTAGATTAGCAAGAAGTTATGCAACCGGCTAGGATACAATAGTGATCTATCCTATAATAAAACGTAGTCCTAATAAACATCAGATTAATAATACCAGCGATAAATTAAAATAATGTGCTATAGCCTTATGGTTCCGTTGTGCCACAGGTAGGTGCAAAGACCATGGCCAAAGTGTCAGCCGATGCCCCAGTCCCGGCTCAGCATTACTCCGCCGCCGCTGTTGGTAGAATGTGGTCCTATGTGTCTTGCGGGGATATGGTTGCTTAAGTGCACGAGTCCTGTTCCGGGCCTGGAAGTGGCAGTCCCGTTTGAGGTCTGGTTTTGTCTCTGGTGGATGCACTCGATGTAGCCTGTCTGTGCACAAATTCCATAGATGTCCCTGGGTTCCAGCTGTGGGTCGGGTTGTGTGCTGTGTTCTGGGAGTCCCTGTTAAGGGAGTGTTGGCTAATTCCTAGGCGCTGCAGGGTCGTGGCGGCTTCTTGAAGGTCTCTAACGACGTGAGTTCTATCCCCATGGGTGATGGACAGTGATCGAGAGGGGCGCCAGCGATGGCTTATCTTGTGCTGTTGGAGAAGAGAGGTGAGCAGTCTCAGTTCTCGGCGCCATGCCAAAGTGTTGCCGCTTAGGTCTGCTAAAAATGTGAGTGACGTCTTCAAAAGCGTATGGTGAGTTGCCCTTTAGCGCGTTCATTGCAGCTGCTTTATCTTTTCCATTTTGGAATTGGATTATCAGGTCCCTGGATGTCGTTGGTGGTGCTTTTGCTGGTTTGGGCACCCGGAATATGCCCTCCGCCACTATTGCTTTGGCTTGTTTGGGTGTTAGTATGGCTGTTAACAGTCTTCTCACCACGTGTTGAAGCTCTGTGTTTGGTATGCTTTCAGGGATTCCTCTTATTTTCAAGTTGTTTCGGCGACGGGCATCTTCCAGTGCGGCAAAGTGGCTTTCATAGGTGAGGTTTTGCTTTTTTAGATCGCTGACCTCTTGTTGCAGAGTTGTGATCTGCTGTATGCAGGAGTGTGAGGTAGTTTCCAGCGCGCCGATGCAGCCTGTCATGCCCTTCAGGTCCTGGTGTATCGTGGCCATGTCTGCCTGAAGGTTTTTCTGCAGATCCGCCAGTAGCTCTTTTAATATTGTGATTGTCACCGGAGCGGAGTCCTGCTTCGTCGAAGGAGGCGGTGGAGGCGCTGAAGCTGGTATGTAGCCTTCCTCCATGCCATAGGAGAAGTCGTCTGAGAGGTCTGAGCAATCCCCTGTGATGGCCGCCATGTTGTGTCCGTGGGTGCCCTGAGCCTGTCGCCACATGTCCCCAATGTTCATGCCCATTTGGGGGGCCTCCTGCCATGGCTTTTTTGATTTATTTATTTTTTTCCCCATGGTTTTTAAACACGTTGGGGGGGGTCGGTAGAGCCCTGTATGTGTAGTTTTGGTGCCGAAAATCGGTTAATTATGTCTCTTGCAATCCGGAGCTCCATAAACGTGCGACCGTCCACTTTGGCTGTTAGACTCCGCCCCCAGGACTTCTGTTATTTTATCCCTTTTGTTTTTATCTGTTGTTGGTGTAACTAATTTGATTGTCGTTTATATTTTTGAATAAATTCTTTATTTTTGTAGTGCTTGTATGATACAATACATGTAGTGAGTCATATAAAGCAGTAAAAGGCAGGGATAACAATAATATTATTATAAGACTGATTAATGGCACTTTTTGTCCTATAGGCATGAGGGAGCTGTGCTAGGCAACTTGGTGGGGTTGCTACAGTGTACAATGTTTTACATCCGGTGGTGAGAAGTGCCCTTCCTACTGATGCAGAGGGTAGCAAATTGTGCAACCTAGTTAAGAAATGTTGAGCGATTACCCAGCACGTCCACCATAGTGTGAAGGCTAGTCAGGGCTGCCATCAGAAATGTTGGGGCCCCTGACACAGCTCAAGGTCTGGGCCCCCCGGTGCCTGCACCCGAGTCTGCCCAAAGTGCTGCCCCCCTGAATCCGCCCACAGGGATGCAGTGTCTGCAGGACCGGTGCAAGGATTTTTGCCGCCCTAGCTGACACCCGGCGGCGGGCGGGCCGGCACGCGAGGGAGCACTCTCTGAGTGATTCCTCTTCAGCTCCCTCGCGCGCCGCGTACTGATGCCGGAGCCGGAAGATGACGTCATCTTCCGGCTCCGGCATCAGTACGGTGCACGAGGGAGCTGAAGAGGAAGCACTCACAGAGTGCTCCCTCGCGCGCCGGCCGCCGGGTGTCAGCAGGGCCAGCCTCGGGGGGGCCCTCAGGTGACGAGCTGCTGGGCCCCCAGGAGAAGAGGCTGGCCCTGTGGGTACATACCGGGTCGCAGGACCCCCTGCGACCCGGTATGTACCCACTGAATGTGGGGCCCGGACGACCTGAGCAGTCCGGGCCCCCCAGGACCGCCGGGCCCATGACAACCGTTACGGTTGTCATGCCCTGATGGCGGCCCTGAGGCTAGTCAAAAGTTGTGAGTTAGCAGGTTTGCCTCAGTATGGTTTGTCAGACTTTGGAGATGATCCAGCAGAGATGTTCAGCCTCACTTTTGATTTTGCATACTGGTTAGTTGGTACAGTCAGTTGAATTGGATCATTCGCTTAGAGTAAGAGGCAATTCCTACAATAAGGCTCCAGTTTTTAAGTGGTAATTACCTAAATAATTGCCTCTGATAAAGTTGAGCCTTACTCTACAAAACACGAGGTGAATGATCCAATTTGACGGATTGAACACGAGCTAACTAACCAGTTCACAAAATCGAAAGCAAGGCTGAACAGGTGACAAAGGGGAATACAGGCCAGTTCATTTGCTGGTGCTGGACCTTTCAGCTGGGCAGACTGCAGATCCCATCCCTCACAAGCATCCCAATGACCATAGGACTCATTCCCACGCTGGGTTTGATACCCTATTTGGCAATTATAAATACATGCAATGTGAGTGCTTTTAATCTTGAATCTTAAAGGACCACCATAGGCACCTAGACCACTTCAGCTCAATGAAGTGGTCTGGCTGCCAGACCCCCCATAGTTTCAGAGAATCTCCCTGACAGCCACTAGAGGCCGCTTTCGCGATCCTCAATGTGAAAATCACATTGAGGACATGCTGATGTCCATAAGAAAGCATTGAGTAATGCTTTCCTATGGGCGGTTTGAATGCTCTTGCCGCGCATGCGAATTAGGAGCTGAGGTCGGCAGCGGGAGAAGAGGTCACCAGTGCTGGATTAAGGTAAGTGGCTGTAGGGGTTTTAACCACTTCAGCATAGTGGGAGGGAGTACCTAATAACTCTATAGTGCCAGGAAAACAAGTTTGTTTTCCTGGCACTATAGTGCTCCTTTAATAAAGTGTTATTCATACAGAGAGTACCATGGATTATATTATTTAATTGCAGGTACCTTTGGCCACCAAGTAGAATTTTATGTTACTGCACTCTGTCATTTTTTCTTTTTATTTCAATGTATTCCAGGATTATTGTACTTACCTGTTACAACTTTCCTGAAGTAATATATTGTTCTAGTAAACACCTCCATCTCTATTGCCCTACAGTTACAGCTTCATGAGCTATATTTTTTTAGTTATGGGGTTTTCTCAAATGTATCTGTTGTTTGTTTATACTGTGTATTTTAAGTTTATTTTTATTTCCACCTTATCTTTTTACTATTGTCAATACAACTAGGATCTCCCACCTACTCACTATACTACATATATTTTATGTTCTGAATATGTAGCTCCTGGATATTCCACAAGTTTTTAGTAGATTCTCCATTCACATTTACAATACATAGACTGATGAACTCTGATCCAGTTTGAGCTTTATTCAGTGCACATTCCCCTACTCCTTCTATTCCACAGGGATATATCTCCCCTGTTTTTACAACTTTCATCTGTACTTAAAGGGACACTGTAGTCACTATAAGCATTTCATCTCTTTGAATTGGTTATAGTGCCTGGAGTGCCCTGTCACTGTCCCTCCATTCAGTGTTGCACCATGTTCGTGCAGTATGCCACAAAATAAGAGTCCCTGGCCACCCACAGTCCAGCCCCTTCAGTATGTGTAGCTAAGGCAGAGATTACACACTTCCTTGTTGTCATACCCATTCATACCGTCAGTTGGAACTCTGACAGGCTAAAAGCAGTCAGTTGACACTCTCAGCCAATCACAGCTGCCTATTGCAGCTCAAGCCAATACTTCCTTATTAGCCAAAGCAGCACAGAGGGGATGGATTGCCAGGGACTCTTGTTTAACATTATTAAAACATTAAAAGTTTAAAAACTGTTTAATGCTGAAAGAAATGATGGTACCAGATGACTCCAGACACTATAACCAGTTTAATGAGATGAAGCAGATACAGTGCCTACGGTGTCCCTTTAATTTTACTGGTCCAGCACATTATATCTGACTTAATTTATCAGTGATTCTTGGACTTTGTTGTAGTATTTTAATTAAAAACAATGTTTGAAATATGTTTCTACCGTGTTTTATAAAGATCATAAATATGTTTTGTCTTCTTGAACACTTTAGAAAGAAGAATGCAAAGATTAAGACTGGCTACAAAAGAGAGCATATTAATGCTGGATGTGATATGGATTTTGATATTGCTGGTCCATCAATCCGTGGAGCTGTAGTCTTTGGCTATGAAGGCTGGTTAGCTGGCTATCAAATGACTTTTGAATCCTCGAAGTCAAGAGTTTCTCAAAGCAACTTTGCAGTAGGATATAAAACTGATGAATTTCAGTTGCATACTAATGTGTAAGTAAAGATAAATACTAATATACGGGCATAGATAGTGATGTGTTGTTTTTTTATTATTTATTTAGATGTTTTGATTATTTTCTGGCAGATCATGGTTCTTACATCAGTTTGGTTATAAACAAAACAAAAAAAAAATACAAGCTACTGAATAAAAATCAGTGACCCCCAAAGAAAGCAATGAGCTGCCAATACTGAAAAGTACAGTTGGAGCTATCAAAAATAGGAACAAAAAAAACCTAAAGCTTTTAAAGTTGATAAGTTATAACCCAGAATGATTCCACTTATTCCAGATTTGCAATTTAAATTGATGTACTGGAATCACCCCAGAATGAATATAGCTATAATCTCCCAAACATACCCAAAATGGTGCCTAGGTTGCCAGGAACCGATTGTTCTAGAACTGTTACCAGATGCATGGATAAATGCAATGCTTGCTGGCAGCATAAACTGATTCGAGTGATGGTTTCCAGACTGCCCTTATAACATGAGAGTGTGAGGAACAGCATCCTATAACTATTCTCCATGATCCTGTTAAACTAGGAGGGATGTTTCCCTACCCAATGTGCAGTGGATGGGAAAGGCCTGAAAAAAACAACTCTGAGTGCTAGCCCATCATCCTTTCTGGATATTATGTGAGGGAAGTACCTTTTGCAATTTGGCATTCTGACACAAAATGCGGTCATAATATTAACGATTATTTTGATTCTATTGTAATTTCTTTCTTTTTTTTCTCAACAGAAATGATGGAACAGAATTTGGAGGCTCTGTATACCAAAAAGTAAATGACAAGTTGGAAACTGCCATTAACCTTGCATGGACAGCGGGAAATAGTAACACACGTTTTGGAATTGCAGCCAAATATCAAATTGATTCTGATGCTTCTTTCTCCGTAAGTACAAAAAGTCTGAAGAAATAAAACTGAATGTTTTAACAGGAGGGTTTCTAAAGGAAACAATTCCATGAGAAATGTTCTACTATAAGAATGTGCATTTGTGTGTGTGTTTTCATGTGTACACACATATGTGTGTGTTTATTGTGGCTAGATGACTGGGTCAGAGCATCTTCAAAAGGCAAGTCTTGTGGGGTGTTGTTCCCAGTATCTAGGGGTTAGTACTTGGCAAAAGTGGTGCAAGAAAAGGACAACCGGTCATGCGCTCTGAAGGCTCATTGAAGCACAGCGAAAGCAAAAGTAGCCTTTCTGGTCCAATCACACAGAAGAGCAACAGATTGCTGAAAAGCTTAATGCTGACCATGATAGTAAGATGCCAGAACACACAGTGCATTGCCGTTTGCTGCATGTGGGGCGCTGTTCCGCAAATTGAGTGCCCGTGATGACCCACTTCTCCACCGCTGAAAGCATCTTTAATGGTGGACATGAGTGTCCGAACTAGACCATGGAGCAATGAAAGAAGACTGCCTGGTTTGACGAAAGACATTTTCTTTTAGGTCAGGTGGATGGCCTGGTGTGTGTGTTTACCTAGGGAAGAGCTTATAGCAGGATGCCCAATATGAAGAAGGCAGGCCAGCAGAATGAACTGGCCTGTATTCCCCTTTGTCACCTGTTCAGCCTTGCTTTCGATTTTGTGAACTGGTTAGTTAGCTCGTGTTCAATCCGTCAAATTGGATCATTCACCTCGTGTTTTGTAGAGTAAGGCTCAACTTTATCAGAGGCAATTATTTAGGTAATTACCACCTTGGGTACTGCAGTTCATGTAGATGTTACTTTGACACGTTCCACCTACCTAGAGATTGTTGCAGATCACGTACACCCTGAACCCTGCCACAGTGCGGAAATTGTTCAAGAATGGTTTGAGGAACATGAAGAGTTGAATGGGTTGCCTTCACCTCCACATTTTCTAGATCTCAATCTGATTGAGCATCTGTGGTATCTGCTGGAACAACAAATCCAATCCATGGAGGCCCACCTTGAACTTGCATGTCTTATAGGATCTGCTGCTAATATCAAGATGCCAATATCACAAATCAGAGCTGTTTTGGTAGCACGAGGGGGGCACGATATTAGACAGGTGGTGTTAATGTTGTGGCTGATTGGTGTACGCACATCATTGGTGAGAGGCACATCATTAACTGGGAGGGGTGAGTTAAAGGAACACACTAAGGTCACTCCACTGAAAAAATACAAAAAAAATAGTAGATCTACACCCAGTGGAAACCATGCATGCATTTAATTGTCCTTTTTTTCATTGGGAGTGGATCTAAAAATGGCTTGCAAAAGCTGCAGATATTTTCTGCAGCTTTTACAAGCACTCCCATTCTTCCCCAGCCCAGATTTTCTATGGCAATCCAATTACAGACTTCCAAGTGCAAATCATTTAGGCACTCTGGGCATTTGCCTGCATCTTGAGTTTAACTAAACGGAGCTACACATTCAGGAAGTAACATAAACTGTTGTCTGATTGACCGTTGAGGGGTGGGGGTGTAACATGATTCATTTAAAAAATGCCAATATCTATTGAAATCTGCACTATTTGTAAAATGAAAAAAGGGACACAAACTTAACATGCTTTACGGGTCTGGAGTGTATAAGCAGGTAAAGCAGATCAATCACTTTTTACTGTTTCATAAATATTTATTGTTTATGAAATACTGTTCCATGCTGCTTTTGGAATTGTACTGAAACTTCAACGCAATCCGAAATATGTATATTAAATAACTGTAATGACAAAGACTTGATATGAAATATATTCAGAAATTGATAGTCTGGGAATAATAAGTTTCCATTTTTCTTTTCTAGCTTGTCTCTATTTTAATGCTAATACATACACAGAATAGGTTGAGCAATTAATGTCAAACTGCTGAAGGTGTGTTCTAACATGCTCTTATCAATTTTTTATCCATTTATTTATTTTCTTCTAAAGGCTAAAGTGAACAACTCGAGTCTGATTGGCTTAGGATATACTCAAACTCTTAAGCCAGGTAGGTATTATTACTTAGAGTATCATAGTGTGAAATTATTTACATGCTTCTGTATATTGGACAGCATGAGTATAGTTTTATTTTCTGTCTCTTTTTATTATTTACAAAACATGGATTTAACGTGAACTGAAAACTACGACAACAGTCATACTAAAACATTTCTGGTCTCATGGCCAACATTTTGGCACTTCTGTTTTCATTTGACTGCAGTTCTTTGTGTAGTAAACAAAAAAGTTTTGTTTATTTTTCTAGTTGTGTAATAGCAGTTCTTCCCTATTATTGTATACATGCCTTTGCTGTATTTTACTAAGTCAGGCTAAGACCTTGGATACAAAGCTCCTCATATTTCTGAAAGCAACATTCCACAACACATTTTGTTATTTGTAATTATTAAAAGCAACAAGTCATACACGAAAAAACTGTTGGCACACACAAAGTAATCAATTTTCAAATACAATGAACTGAATTAGTAAGAGAGAGGGTTAAAGAGAGTGTTAGAGATAGAGTAGGGGAAAGAAACAAATTAATATATTTTAGCTAAAGGACATTTGGAAGCCAAAAAGGAAGATCCAGGCTTCGGTTTTATGAAGCAATGTCTTAAAATCGTGGAATTCGGCAATTTATCAATTTTGCCAACTATTCAACATTTTTAAAAGATTTTTAATTGAGATTTTTTTTATTAAGATCTTTTGTAAAGACAAATCAAAATGGAATCAATACTCTGAACCCCAGCTTGCTAAACAAATAGCTGCATTAGTTAAAGGAACACTGTACTCACTATAACACCTTCATCTTATTGAAGATGTTATAGTGCCTACAGAAGTTTGCCCCCAAAATGTTTTTTGTTTTTTTTAAAACTAATTGGAAGGCTTGTGAGCCCTCTGAATAGGAGAGCCGGGACATTTACTTCATATCCAGGCACAACATGATGTCATGCATGCATTTGCAGTGTCTTCATGGCTTACCATAAAGAATCACGGCATTAAATGTTTCTCTATGAGTAGATGTTGACTGGTGGATCGTGGCGAGCACAATCTCTGTTAGGCGCATTGGATAGGATCGTCATCCTGGAAGAACGCCTCCAGGATGACATCACAACAGTAGACACTCGGAGCTGGAGAAAAGGAAAGCAAATTTATATATATATATAATTTTATTTTTATCTCCGCACACAATTGTAATGTTAGGAATAAATAGTTGTATTCCTAATGCTATAGTGTCCCTTTAAGAACTCTGGAGACTTGGAAAGAAAAGAAGAGGAACTAGTCCAGCATGCTTTAGAAAAATGGCAGATGCCATTTACTGTCAGTCAGGGATTGCAATTGCCTAAAATCTGGGGAGGGACTGAAAACAATGGCCATGGAAAAATTTTCATCTTCTCACACGGCCTATTCAGGAGACCATGTATCTGACCTTGCACTCCAATTTTCCTTACAATGGGTGAGTAGTTAGCCTCCTTTTTGACCTAGAAAAGATGGGTATTGTCCACATAAGTAGACAGTTTATAAAAAGAAATTAGTACCAAAAAGCTATTTATAAGAGAGAAAAACTGTATCTCAGGCAAAAGTGGCCCCAAAGAGCAAACAAAACAGGGGAAAGTGGTCAACCATAACTAATTTCTTTTAGTATGCCACACTAAAATATAAATACAAAGAAAATTGTGTTACATGTTCTTCAATCATAAACTTTTTTCCCTGGTGTTTTACAAGTGTTTATGGCAAAAAGTTCCTGACAGGCTTGTAATATCTATTAAAAATCATACAACTCCCATGATGGTAGCCTTTTAAATAGCAAAATGTCATGCAAATTGTAGTTTTACATTTTCTGTGGATCTACCTTTTGGATCGCCTCTATAGATTAGACTTTGTGAATTATCTTTAAAGATTTTCTAGGGAGTGGTTATGATTATCAAAACGTGTGGTTTTCAGACACTATTGCAAAATATACTTTACTCAGATGCTTATCATAGACTGCTGGTAGGGTAGGCATTATGCATGGTGGTGTGGAGCTAAGCAAACAGGAAGAGAAACCAGTGATTGGATTGATAGCGATGGAGGTACCAAGTATAATTGATAAGTATCAATTTCTATTGAAATCTGCATTTTTGTAAAATGATGAAGGGAAACAAAAATAACACTCTCACCATACATAAAGCACTTCTACAAGCTTTCTATTACTTTTTTTTTTCTGTTTTAATTATGTCTCATTTCCACTATTTTGCAGGCATCAAACTAACACTATCTACATTGCTCGATGGAAAGAACATTAATGCCGGAGGACACAAACTAGGTCTAGGATTGGAATTTGAAGCATAACACATTTTGCAACTGCACAGCTTACTGTCCCAATGTTATTCAGCATAGATACCCTAACAATCTAGTGTACTTTGTAATGTTCTATGTCTGGGATGCAAACAACCCTTTGTGTTAATCACAATTGATTCCCTGAGAAAAGAGCACCTGAGCTTTTTAAGTGTTTTTGTTGAAGAGAAAGAGCGTGAAAGACATTAGGGAACAGTTTTGCTATTGCAGGCTAATTTTGAAATATTTCATAGCTGCTCATTTTTACCATGCTTTACTAGAAACAAAGGTATTGACTATCCTTTTTTTTTTTTTTATCAGTTTAGTTCTAAATTAATATTGGGAAAAAATAACTATTAGATTAATATTTAGATTATTTAATGTCTTTCTTGCAAGAGCAGCTAGAACATATTGCTCAGCGTTGCTTTGTCAGGATCCTAAATTCAAAAAGGGGGTTAAAGGATCAGTTTATATCACTGACGGTGTGAACAGCCATTGCCTGCACAAAAAGGGACTGCAAAGTATTTCATAAACTGTTTAACGTCTTATTATATGGTGGTTTGACAAATGTTGTCCTTCGACCTTTGTATTTTCATGTGCAGAATAAGCCACTCATTTCATCACCTGTGGCTTCCTTCCCCAAAACACATCACAGGAAAGCTTGACAGAAAGATATGCAAGGGACGAGTCACTGTTCTGTATCACCTGGTGGCATCACCAGTTTCCACCAGAAGACTTTTCTATTTTATTTCCTGCACCATTTTTACATATTTTTTTTTGTTTTAGCAATGTGACATGTCTATGTATTGTCTTCCATTCTGTGAAAGAGTTTCTTGATATGCTGTATGCAACATTACCTTAAATAAAACCTGAGTAAATAAAGTATTACATTTTTGTGGTATGGTGTAATAGTGGTAAAAGTTCTTCATAATAAAGAAAGGTCCTGTGTGCAATCTGTGGGGTGAAAATTATTCATTTACAGCCATGTATTAACAAATCTAAGACCAAGTCATTTGGGGGGGGAAAGCATTAGATGTAAAGTACAAAATATATTTGTATCAGGGCTCAAATGTTAAAACCTATGTTATCCCAGGGCTAAATGTAATTGCCTCTGCAAAAACAAAAAATAAGCACAGCAAAGTTATGGAACCAATTTGTTGACGTTTGCTTTTGGTAATATTTTTTAACTTCAAGTGTCCCTGTACATCATAATTTTATGAGAGAGCTGCAAATCCTGGGAATTTCAGCAACCTTTTGAAATTTTTAATATTTAATTTAGCATATTAAAATCATTATCCATAGAATGCATTTGCCTGTAGTGTTCCTTTGTAACTGTGTTGTGAAACTAGCAGTGCACAATATATTGCCCTTGGCTCCAAATGTCCAAGCTTGTGACCGCAAACACAAGCTTGATTTGACACAAACACCATATATACTGTATTTTTTTTAGTGGGGGGTGGCTGTGTGTATTTTATTTGTGTTTGGAGAGTTTGTGTGTGTTTTCAGGGGGCTGTGTGTTGGGGCTCTGTGTATGGAAATCTGTTCTCAGCCTCTCTTCTTATTTCAGTATTTTGTAAAGAAACAAATACATCATTTTTGTTGCCCCCTCTTGCTTAACTTTCAGAGAGGAATAAGATATATGGCCGGGGTACTTCCTAGTTATCCTGCACCAGGGGTATGCTTGATGGTGATCTAGTAGAATCTATGTTGGTCCATGGGGAGTAGCATTAGGTCTCTCAAGTTAGATCACCTTCATGCCCTCCTTCTGATCCAACATTTAGTAAATGACTCTGAGCACTTGTTGGGTATTCCAGCAGCAGTAAAATACAAACACAACAAAGAAATGGTGGATTGGCGCTTAATACCAAAGAATAGGCAACTACCGCCCCCCCCCCCCTGCCCAAAATCACTAAACTCAGATACAAAGTGATAGAAATGAGTATAAGGGGGGTGCAAAGAAATATACAATACTTGGCTGTATACTTAGTATAGTGAGTTGAACACCTCCTGATCTTCCTATAATAGAAACATAAACATATGCATATTATAATACAGTATCACAAGGAAAAATGATCAATTATGAAGGTATTGGGTCACTCACAATATGCAGAGCCACATAAAGCTGTCTCTGACTTCGAAGGCAAATGAATAATAAGCTTATTCTGGCTTTCAGATTCCTAAGCAGGATAGCTCCTTTCCAGCCCCTCAATGAATT